TATAATAATATATATATTAATATAATTAGGGCTAAAAAAAAGGTTAGAAAGAAGGTTTAGGGTAATTAGAAGGTAATAGTAGAGTTAAGTTTATAAGTTAATTATAAGGTTAGAAAATACACTTTAACTTTAATACAATGGCAGGTTTTAACATCTAGCCCCATTTGCTCGCGATGAATCCAGGCGCCGATTAACGCAAGCCACAAGACATATGTGTTGTCTTTCCACTGTGTTACGACACATGCTAAGTCACCCACGCGATACGCATCCTCGATCGTATATTCATCAAGACGCATCGCTATTGGTTCGCCTCCTAATCTACCATCCTTTGGAACAACTCCTCTCAGCCAAGGAGTCTGCAGATTTAAATGGGCAGAAATGGATGATCGCCTCGATCCGTGAAACGGTTGAACACTACCCTAAGATCTGTGCGCGCTGCGAATAGTAGTTGCTGTCTCCTTTCTCCAAACCTCGTATCCCTCAATTTAGTTGTAGTTGGATGGTGATATCGAGTCTATCTTTTATTGCAAGCACCTCCTGTCCCGACATAATGGGTCGCCCTTTAGATTCGGTTTGCCGGTCGATAAGGCTATGTGGACAAGACAGGTTGCTAGCCCAGCATAAAAAAGAATGTATGTATGCGTATCGCAGATGGGTTCAGTCGGATCAGATGATTAGCTCATGATCTGGACTCCTGGAGGCTATAAAAGATAGAGAGCGTGTGATCAAAGCCGAAGATCCTCAACATCCTAGCTACATTAGCTTCAAGCCCGGCGCTGAGAGACGATCGTCCTGCACATGTCGTACCTCTGGCACAGACTGTCGCCTTACATGTCATCGGCAGATCGCCACTGGAGCATGCGATGTGAACTCATCGCCATTAGCCGAGGTTTTGATGCAGGAATCTGCTTTGCCACGCAAGTTCGGAATTAAGAAAGGCAGGCTGCAGGAAATTGCGATATTACCTTCTTTAGCTGCAAAAGCCGGTTACCTACTTGTGAATAGTATCATGGTACCGCAGGATATTCTGATGAATCCGCTATAGGGAAAAACACGCTTAGCCTGGCTTTTTACCAGTAAGGGGAAAACCTTTAGGTAATAACCCTTCTTTGATTATAATATTAAAACCAAATTATAACTTAAATATAATATCTCTTAATAGATCTTATAATTTTAAGCCTTTTTATTAGCTAGCTAGCTTTTTTTATACTTATATTACTATTTTTAAGTTAACTTAGGTATAAATTAAGGTAATTTTTAGTAATTAAATCTTAGCTTTTTAGCTTTTTAAGGTTAAAAGCTGCAGGGTTTAAACCTACTACCTTTAGCTACCTAGTTAGCTTTCAGGTCAGGCCAGTAACGTCTAACCGTTACGCTATAAGCCCCCTTAGTTACAGTTATAGTTAACGATTTTCAACGCGACGTGAGGCGAGACAGTGAGACTCATCACGTTGTCCAATATCCAAAACAGATAATTCTGCTCAAATTGAGATTGTGGGTAGTAAAGTAACGAAGCCCAGTGACCCTGCTATGTATGTCAGCATTTCGCCAATTAGAAAAGACAACCTATGAACTATTTGTGCTCTACCTTTGAGCTAGCCTAAAGCTTCTCTTCAGGTCTCAGACTCACGACCCTATCGCAGCGGATAGTACCTCATATCCCATTAGATACCGTGTTGTTCAACTTTGGACGCATTTATGTCACGTCGGTAAGATCGAATTGAACATACCACAGCATATGTGGGAAATATGAATTTTCCGATTCATCCGTATCTATACAACAACATCATATAGTGTTGAACCCAATCGAATCCATTATTTCTAGTGTCTTTTGCAAATTTCGCTCCACTGCAAAGTCTCGCACCTTTCTCCGATCGGCATCAGTTGACTTGGCTTGATATTCCACCAAGATTCGTTTCGCTTCGGAACATTTAAGCAAAAAGCTGGCTACCGAAGCTGCCCATTCTCGCTGGTAAGAGTGAAATTCATCTAAACGTTTTAATGCGTGATGGAGTGGCATGAGTCCCCCCTCGGATTTGTCTGGTGTCCATGCAAGGCTTGGGTCTGCTTCGAAGAGATATCCGAGAACGTCTTCATCAACATGGCGACCTCGACCGATTGCAGATGAAAACGCTGTCTGTCCTTGGTAGTTCCGACTGGAGAGATCAACAGATTTGTTCTCCAGTAGCACGCGAATCGAGTTAACAGACTTAGCTGCATGCAACAGACTCCCCCCTGAGTTGTTCCTGTAGTTGATGTCTGCGGTATTGTCAAGAATAGCTCGGAGAACAGCTTGCGGCAGACCACGACTCAATGCTAGATTTGCTGGTATATTGCCATTACTGTCCGTAATATTTGAAAATTTACCGCCGCCGTATCGAAGAAGGCGCCAAACCATAGAAAAACAGCTACTGCAGTCCTCTACACACAGTCTTTTTATGCAAAGATGCAATGGTGTAGCTCCATTCTCGTCTTCAATCTGGAGATACTCATCATTCCCGATATCCATTAGGAATATGGCGAGAGAGTAGCACCCCTTACCTAACGCCGTGCGGAAGCAACCGAGTTGTCGAAAAAACATGTCCCCCCAGATCTTGTACTCCGCACAGTCGGACTGTGCAATGAATACCGCCTTTTCATTGTAGAACTCTGGCCTGACATATTGAAACCAGGCATGCATCAGCGTGGCGTCGACAGAATGAGTAGCTCTTCGGGCTCCTTTCCAGTTCCAGGGGTATTGGGCTAATACCTTATGTGGGACTAGCTTGATCACGTCCGCATGGTATATCGGCTGTCTTATATTCAGAATCATGCTCAAAGCGGCTGGGTTATCTGCGCATATTGCCCGAGCAATACTCTCTGCTAGGTTGGAATCGTTTGGGCCATTGCCGTTGTGCAGAAAAAATTCCAGGATGTCCAGATGCGGCCCGTTGATCACACGAGTGATTGGATTCTGCAAGGATCTGGCATCCCTCTTATAATGAAAAGGGTCAATTCCATTATCGACGAGATACTTGCAAACATGGCCATGCCCAGCTGAAGCAGCTGCACACAGGGGCGTGACAGGATTTGCTTTGCGGCCTTCGAGATTAGCCCCCTCGCGGTGAAATCTCTTAACTTCATCAAGATCACCAGCTTTGCAAGCTTCATAAGGGTTCCATGCGTCATTCCTAGATACACTAGGAAAAGTGGCGTTGACTCCAGTTGTAGTGCGGTGAAAGGTCTTATCATGGCTTTCCAGCTGCTTTTGAGAAGCATGCCCAATTTTATGCCCAAAGCAATCAGCATGAGGGCATCTGAACGGCCTATCATGCACTGCGAGGTGCTGCTCGAGTGCAGTTTTGTCCGAAAGTCCCGTGGCAAACTTGGAGCATTGAATCTTGTGACACCTGTGCCTCATTGGTCCCTCAGTTAAGTCGAAAGCAGCGGTTCCTGGCTTCTCTCGTTCAAGGTCTATCAGAGTTCGTACGACGAGCACGCTATCTTGAATGGCCAGGATCAAGTCTTGAGCTGCCCTATCAATGTCTTCTGCTTCGACTGCGGACTCTTTGCAATGTGCTTTTTCCAAATCAACTGCTGCTGTTTTGACAGCCTCCAGTTTGGGGGCCGAATTCGTCAAAACCTCTAGAGCCTCAACCTCCTGTACGTGGGTGTCATAGTGAGCCGCAGCGTAGTCCAAGAACCCAAAATAGCCCGAATGAATATCGGCGGTGATGTCTTGGCTCTTGCTTGTAGTAAAAGGTCGAGACGATAAATACCGACAACAAAAAAGAGCCATGTCGATATGCTCCTCTAGCAGATTGACCGTCCTGTTGTCAATGAGATATCTATGGCAATGTCAGCTACTTTCGATGCATTGAGTCTGGCACATGGTCTCACCTGGTTGCTGTTTCATGAACTATGCTGATGAACTGCTCGGATTCTATGTTGGGAAACATATCGCAATTTGTTACGTCAACAAGGGAGCTGCATATTCGCTTGCAGCTGTCGAGACGCATGTTATCAAGGTCACAAATCTGCTTTTCTGCATCGATGCAGAATCTGGACTGTATTTCGCGCCATCGAAGGGGCTTTGCGGCACAAATAATCCAACCCAGGATCCTCTTCACGCTCGTGTCACGTGAGGGCCGATTGTTTTGAAGAACACGTTGAGTGATACGGTCGTAACTGACGGTGTTAGTAATCTCATACAATCTCTGATGTCTTTCCCCTTCTTACGCTTGATTCAGATCTTTCGGGAACGCATCGCTTTCCAGTTCGTCTTTAAAGTCTCGCTTCGAGTCCATAGCTGCAAGGTTATCAAGCACCACTCTTGCATATAGAAACATCCCTGAACGTGTTAGTATTATGAGTCGTATGTCGGTTAAAGTCCTCTCACCTCGAGATGAGCCCGCTATTTTGGATACCAGAGTCTGTTCTTCTTGCGCTGCTAACCGAAATCTAGTTCGTATCTTCGCGGCTTGCTCTTTCGTGAACTGCTCAATGTCACTTTGGTGAGCATCTACTAGGTCCAGTCGGATCTGAGGATGAGATGATAGCACACAGTCGAGTTTTCCGTCTCTCTGTCCGCAAATCAGTATTTTAAGGTGGCAGCCACTCGTTCTTGCAGCTGGAACCAGCCTATCCAAACACCACTTGATAGAGATTTCTTGCTCGTTGCTCATCGCCTCGTCCAGTCCGTCAAGGACGAGCGTTGCATTAGGCCGGGATGTAAAGCAATCAGTGGCCAATTCCTTAAGGTCAGCAAGTTCGGTAACGTCTTTGGTGGATAGTGTGTCGTGTGCAAGCCTCATTATAGTTTCATCTGCGTCGACGAGTTGCATGATGACGTGTTGGAGCATCGACCGGGCCGTTCTCCGTTCCGTTGCATTGTGCTTGAAGAAGAAATAAGCTAGGAAAGACCGCCCGGGAGCTTCAGAGACTTCTTTCTGCCTTTGATGACGAATTATTGTCTTTGCTAAAGTGGACTTGCCTTTATGTCGATTAGTCAGTCTCCAGACAATCCTTGAATAGCAAATAAGTAGATGACTTACCCGAACCAGGGGAGCCATTGAGAAACAAGACCCTGTTCTCTGCAGACTTCCCTTCTTCCCAGCGCTTGAAAGTAGGGCTGGAAAATATCCAAACACCAGAATTCTCATATACAGGATCCCGCGATTCCAAGTCAAGATCGGTTCGAGATTTCGAAACGTTCAGTCGACTCTCTAAATAGGTCTTCATTTCTTGTGCTTGCAATGCCTTGCTTTGCAACTGCTCGGAAGCCAGAGTAGACCTTATATCTTCGAGACTAGTCTGAAGGTTACCAAACTGGTCCTTAGCGTACTGGCCAGAGTCTTGGACTTCCTTGAGAATAGCGTGAGATTGCAGCTTGTCATCTGACAACAGAGCCTGTTTGCGTTTGAGACTTTCGAGAATTGTCTTGACTTCGCGCCGAAAACTTCCCCAAGCCCATTTGAACAGTCTTTTCCATTCTGATCCAAATAATTAATAGCAGATAAGACATATAGAGAGGCGAATACCAACCTGGACGAGAAAAGACACCAAGAACGCAGTGATGGAGTTGAAGGATATCGGAGAAATAATCGGCCAAGACTAACCTCAAGTCGTCTCTGCTTTGAATGAGGTTTTGGAAGAAGGCAAGATTACCTAGCGCCTCTGCGATTTCTTCGTAAGCATCGATCAGCTGCCTAATAGCATCTGTCCAAGTGGTGGCGACCATAAGCGCCAGCTTGATCGGGCCCTACGGTATATCATCAGTACCAAGACGGCGGTACTTAGCAATTTTGCCTACCCAAATGAACGCCACGAAGTCACTGGCGTTAAGGAATATTGTGACAAGCTTCTCAATGTGTTCCATAGCGTGGAGAAATCTCTGGATTCGGGTCAATTTGCAAAGGTCATTTCTGCGCCCTAATCTGCCCTGAATTTCTTGGATAGTATCGGTCACAATTTTCTGATTGGCTCCGTTGATTTGCTTGATCTGGTCATCAGAAAGCTCTCGCCGAAAGAGGTCTAGAGACCTTTCGAAGCTGGTTCGTTGATTTGTAGCCATTTTAGATTGTCGTTCGATGGTTGTTGATAGACGTAAGATGATGCCGAAAGAACCATATTTAGGGATTTGCCTGGCGTCAACAAACAATATGCACGTCGCCTCACTTTCAACCCAAGGCAGATCGACGTGTTTCGTGGCTGACAACCACAGCCAACAAGAGTGAAGAATCACCTGTTGGGGTAGGACAAGCGGGGCAGTGCTGTAATTCTCGGCGCGTATCCCAACACAGCCTGATTGAAGAGGCTGACTGCGCCTCAAAATCATTGGTAAGGCTTTTTCAGCTTGACCGCTAACCAAGAAACACGGCCAATATCAAGGCGGTCCCAAACCTCCCCAAATCTGGGCAGAGGTCAAAAGACTCTGAACATATCAATTCCGATATGACGCGACCTCTAAAGAGACGAAGAGATTCCAAAAATGACGCCGAAAACAGCATCTTGTACAGAGATGCCCAAAGACAGGCTGTTTGCTTCGATGAAACAATTTCCCCCCCTTCTTTTGACTCTGGCATGGACGTAGATTTACCAAGTGACCCAGGTGGTATTGGAGGTGACATATCAGCTGTAGAGGATTCCGGAGAGGAAAGGATATGCTACGGAGCGGTAAGGCGACTCACGAACCCCCGGATCCTCAAATTCTGACATTGGACGTTCTGGTGCATAGATCTGCGGAGCCCAGGTTCTGCTGAATTCTCACACTCAGATGCCTAATGAGACACAGCCATGGGCTAGGTATTGCCTATCCAAGATCGAACCTGATGGAAGAAATTACTACTTAGTTGGTGACGGGGAACCCGATCCCAAGAAGAGATCGGTTCTGGACTGTGATACAGCAGCGATTATGACGATTGTAGCTAACAGATCTGGAGACACATCCTTCGCAGCGGTCCTTGGGGTCGATGTATTTCGCGGCAAGCGGAAGAGGTCTGGAAAGGGCATACCTATCGACATCTCAGTCAACGTCTACGGTCCTAGGAACACGATTGACGAAGTTGATGACGCCTTATCCGATATTGGCACTTATCGCACTTATCTACAGCATCCCGTATTTCTGGAACCGGGCATCCCATACATTAATCCGCAGTTCTTCTACCCAAGTTCTCAGAAGACCGACCTTAGACACCTGGTTGGATCAAGCGCTCAGAACAGCGATGCTAAATCCAAGATTTCTCAGGAAGTCGAGGTGGTTATGGGTTCCCTAGACGGTCAGGGCGAAGACATGACAGTAATCGGCAGTGGAGCTGATAATTTGCCACAAATTCTGAACCAGTGCCTGGTAAACACGAAATTGAAAGAGTAAGCAGTTGGGTAGGTGACTGAAATGTATTAACAGAGGCTAATGTTGTGCCTCGATAGGCATCAGCTGAAAGGGGTTGAGTTCATTCTTGGCCGCGAGGACGAGGCGGTAGCCACACAAACGCATAGGCACATGCTTATGTCGATCCATCATAGGTATGATTTGTTAACATCTGTGTGAGTGCGTGCGAGTAACTGACTGGGGGATACTTCTTTAGCTTGCTATCTCTCGCAGAAAAACCAGGCGGTGGCGGGATACTTGCAGACGTCATGGGCCTCGGCAAGACACTGACCATGTTGAGTGCGATTCTTTGCTCGAAGCGAATGGGCGAGTCGTTCACTAGCGATAACATGAGCAACAATTACCCTCCGCAACACTCATCGGTGAATATGACTCTTGTTGTGCTACCATCTAGACGTATGTCCCATCCTCAATATAATCGACTGACGTCTTAGTACCTATTGACATAACGAAGAGGTCCTGGATGTTTGGAAAAATGAAATTGACAGGTAAGAATAACACAGAGTAGGACCTTTGCGAACGAATCTAATTATCTGTAGCCGATTCCAACCCCAAACCTTTCGAACGGCCACTTTCCACGGAGATGCGCGACCGAAAAAGCGAGAACTTCTTCTCCGTCATGATATCGTCCTCACAACGTATCACACCCTAGAAACAGACACCCGGGGAAAGGGGATTCTGAACTCCATTAAGTGGTCAAGAGTTGTGCTAGATGAAGGCAAGTCCCTAGCTATGTGACGAAATGACCGAAGTTCCTCTGACGAATATGTCTATAGCCCATCAAATACGAAACTCTTCGATCAAATTACATAAAGCCGCAGCCTCACTTGAAAGTGACACAAGATGGTGCCTCACCGGCACACCCATTCAAAATAGCTTTGACGATCTCAGGTCACTGCTGAAGTTCCTGCGTTTCGAGCCCTTTTGCCAAAGCAACCTGTTTGAACAGCACATAGTCAAGCCTTTCAGGCAAGAACAGCAGGATCCACCGAGCGGACTTGACGGGGCTCGAAACCTGAAAATCATGCTCAAAGCGTGTTGCCTACGAAGAACACAAGCAAAGCTGGATCTTCCGCCCAGCACTATAGAGAGGGTCGATGTAGCGCCCACCGAGACTGAGAAGTCCATGTTTACGAGCATTCTCGACCAATGCAAGGAAGATTTTGACAAGATGGCCGGCAAAGAAGGGAACTCGAAAAAGTCCAATGTACTGTTTTCAGCAATTATGAAACTCAGGAGGGTTTGCAACCATGGACCTATTCCTAGCAGTGCTTGTGGCTCAAAACGCACAAATCAGTTGGCTGTGCCCAAAGCAAAACGGAAGGCCTCAAGATCGCCGAGTGCAGAGCCCGCTTGCGAGTTTTGTGACGAAGAGACTGGAAATCTTGATCTTCTTGGCGGTCTTGATAGCTGCCCCATTTGCGGTCGGCTGGAGTCTGAGATGAATGACGAAGCCTCTTCCCTGGCACCCTCACCTCGGCCGGCACCATCTCCGACACCATCTATGATGGATATCGATACACCGGAATCTTCTACCGGGGAGTTTCACAGACAATCGGGCCATGAGCTGAAACAGAAGTCTTCAAAGATGTCAGCTGTCGTGGACAACATCAAGAAATCATGCATGGACGCGTGCTCTAAGAGGTAAGTCTCCACGAAGCTCATCTTGTGTAATATTATTGATATTTGGACAGTGTTGTGTTCTCGAGCTGGAGAGATACTCTTGATATACTTGCAGCGATATTGGGAGCAGAAGGAATTGCTTTTGTTCAGGTTGATGGACGTAACCCGCTGGTCGGCCGAACGGAGCTAATCTCCAAGTTCTGCCAGGACCCAATGATTCGAGTTCTTCTCATATCCATCAACACTGGCGCAGTTGGGTAAGCTTGGCTTCAGTTTACAGGTACTAAATTACTCACGCCACTGTAGCCTGACTCTCACACAAGCAAATATGGTCCACATCGTTGAACCGCAATGGAACCCAGCCATCGAAGAACAAGCAATCGCAAGAGTTGTCCGGATGGGCCAGACGCGGCCAGTCAATATCTTCAAGTACATAACGGCTGGGTCTATCGAGAACGTAAGTCTTCCCAATTTCGCTATGATGACGGAGACTAACGTCCTATAGACTGTTGTAAAATTGCAAGAGAAAAAGACGCGGATCATCAAACTATCAATGCAAGATAAGGACGGCGCTGAATCCGATGCGAACTTGGATGCAAGTTACGACCTCTTTCCACTATCCCTAAAATATATCCTGACCTCAAGCAGAGTTTCAAATTTGCCATTGATCCGAATGAATGGGGGGCTGTATCATAAATCTTGCCCAGTCAGTCGCGCTATGGAATGTTGAACTTGATATGTCTCGTTGAGACGTCATAAGCTTTGAGTATCAATCAACAGAACGTTGAAATATGCACCTCGTTCTCTTTTTTGTCACTCGGTGACCATTGTCTCTCGTCTCAAATTAACGTCCAACGTCCATTGGATCTAGTTCAGCTGGTGCCCAACTGTATTCCAGCTTGTTCCCATGTTCCCATAGCTAACATGAACTGTCCCGAGTAGTACAGGATCCAAACAGCGTAGTCCATCCAGACTTGGTGTGAGGATGATGCTGGAACAAGAAATCTGCCAGAGGCCAAGATCGTATCAGATACCGTAAAGACAACAGCTCCCAGTGCGATTTTATCGCTCTTGATCGTCAATGCTGAAAATATCATACCCAGGATGGCACAGGTATAGAGAAGAATCGGTAAACGAAGGTCGCTGTCGACTCTCGGAATCAACAGCACCAACATCGTGGGCCCCAATAAGATAGCTGATATAACGATAGCGACTCGTGATTGATCTTCTAGAACAAGGCTCTTTGCACCTGTCTGATAGAAAAGTGTGATATAGCAGAGATGCGATGTCAAGAAGCTCCCGAGCCCTGCCAGGAATGCCGGCTCTGAATCCCAAGCAAGAAACGCATCGCCTAGCGCCCCAAAGCTGAGCGCAGCTAAAAGGTATGTCGGCCCATCCACAATCTTGACAAGGACCGCGAGTAGAGAAACAGCGAGGGTTTTGGTGATCATGCGTGAGTAGCTTGGACTCGCACGAGCTTTGACGCCATAGAGGATGGCTGCAGTCAAGGAACTGGCAAGGAGATAATTTTCTGGTAGCATGGTGGTTTTTTCGATGCGATATTGGGCACAGAACTGTTGTCTCAAATGCAAAGCCGTGGATTTATGGTCATGGTTGGAGTTGACCTCGGCACTCAGTTGACTCGCACGTGACAACCTCGTTAGTCGACCTGCCTGTCTAGGCAACTTCTGCCACTCTAGGTGTTCTTTTCTCGGGAAATATAGCAATTTAGAGGTACTCATGTGAGTCTTGAAGTTGCCGATAATGTTTTAGAAGCTTGGGTATTGGGGCTGGAATTGTCGCATTTGCACAAAAGTCCTGATTGTCTTATTGCCAACTACGGCACTCTACAGCAAATCTCAGAGCAAAAGCGATTATGTCCAAGCTATCCTTTTTCTGTGTGACAGTGAGCGACTGCAGATATCAATATGAGCCATGGCCTCGGCCGTTCATGAGTGTAAAGAGTCGAGATAGCAGTTTCAGCAACACTGCCATGTATCAGACTGCCACTGTTGACTGTGACACTCAGTGATTAGATTCATCAATTGGCCTCAAATCCCCTTGAACCTTTGAATCACAAAGAGCCCACAACTATAAATTCTTCACTCTCCTACCAGTTCATTTTCCTACCAACAAACTTCTGCTCTGAAACCTCAACATAAATCAGCACCCTGCTATCAAATTCTGCTCTGTACGCAAAATGAGTACCAACGTACAATGGATTCATGTGTTCTTACACAAGAAGGACCACGCCTCCAACGCGGAAGCGAAGCTCTTGAAGCTGAGAGAGGTCAGCGATTGGTGTTGGTATTATGATCTCCACGAAGGCGGCTCTGTCCTTCAGATGAAGGCACGAATCGACACAGCTATCGACGATTCCCTCGTCGACGCTGTGAAATTGCTAAGGAGGCTTGGAGCTTCAAGGGACTGGACGTTATCCCACCACGTTGTAAGGTCGAACGCGATGCATTTTTCTGACATCGATAATAAGACGACACTTGCTTGCTAAGTTAGGATATTGCCTTGAATTGATTTCACATATAAATAAATATAGTAAGCTATTAGTGATAATCTACAGTGTGACTTATCTCATGGGCGGGAGATGTATATCTTGCTCTAAAGTAGAATCATGCTATGAAATTGGGCGAAACTATCAGAGCGTAAAGAGCCTAATGACAGCTGGGACTACGTGCTAGGTACACAACAGGGAGCTATACTTCAATTGAAGCACTGAATATGATTTAATTCCTTTGACTGCAGACATCACGGGCGATAAGGGGGTTGAAGAGAGCTGGAGACAATCTCACTACGTGGCTCAAAAGTACAGACTTATGGGAGGTCAAAATAAACATGCTAAAAGGTGTTCAAGACTTCACCTAAACGTATGCTAGGTTACCCAAGTCTTTTTGTCATGCTTTGGATCAAGTTCCCCCAGCCTAGCAAGGCATTCTGCTAGGCAGTGCGGGGTACCAACGGCAGAATTAGCAAACGATCATGGGTGGCAATTTGAGAAAACAGACTGGGAAATTGAGAAGACCAAGAGACAGAAAAGCAGGCTGGTCCCTGCTCTATACGGCGTGTTACTCAGGGTGACCCTAAAAAGCGGCTGTGCGGCGTCATTTGGCAATAAGTGTAACAACGACAGAAATGCGCTTCAGCTGAAAGGCAGCCTGTCTCAGATCATCCAATCACGTCGCTCTTTCAACCGACTCAGCCTCCTGTAGGCTTTATTCAAGGCCTTTCCAGTCTTTGTCAGAGACTAACCTTCCAACTACTAATATCACGCGTCGGCTCCGGATCTGAATCATGAATACTCAGGAGAAAGTGTTTCAGCGACGTAAGTGACGTCGAAAAGGGCTGTCATGTTTCTACAAAGAGGTCAGCTTTTCAGAGGCGTCCGATGCGTAGCGCGTGCCCAGCCTCGATTGATACCCCCGCTGCATCGTCATTCGTCTCATCAATGGCTTTCGACGCAGACTTCCATTCAAAAGCGTACTACAAGCCCGCGATCAAAGACGATATTTAGAAAGATCGTATTGATATCTGTCGGTGCCCTTGCCTGGGGCCAAGTCCTTATCTCATATGTATACGAGCCTCTCAGAGACAATAGCGTCTTCACAGACATCGCCCAATCGACCATCTTCCGAGCAATACCAGTAAAGCTAGCGCGGCCAGCCGAAAAAACGGAAAATGAGCTGTATCAACCGATCACTGGGGGTAAAGAGATACGGCTGCTTATCCTGGGGCCGGGTGCACGCGAGGATCCACTGGAATGCCAGCTGGTCAACGCTGAGCTGTCGTGGAGGACCAGATTCGAGGCTTTATCGTACGTCTGGGGAGACGACACCACCAAACACGACCTTAAATGTTCTGGACGCATTATCGGTGTCATGGCTAACCTTCATGATGCCCTGTTGGACTTGCGGCTTCCAACACAAAGGCGTGTTCTATGGATTGATGCCCTCTGTATCAACCAGGCCGATAACGACGAAAAGTCCAAACAGATCAGACTTATGCATGAGATCTACTCCCAAGCCTCTGACGTCCTCATCTATCTCGGAAAATCAGATGCTTCTGTGCATGGTGCGATTAAATCAATGCGTTGGCTCGACTGGAAGTTCATGCCTCTCTACGCTCGAAAATCTCATATGAGTTCATACGTTGGCATATCAAGTTTCCTTATTGAGAAGCATACAAAGATAAAACCCATAAATCGACAGGACTTCACATGGGATCCGATCATCAATTTGCTGGGCCGTCCATGGTTTCAACGCACTTGGGTGATCCAAGAGGCCGTCATACCGAAGCATGCAAAAGTCATTTGTGGGGACCAGTCAATATCCTGGGCAAGGTTTCTGAGAGTTGTGGATGCCATGAAGAATTACCAAGCCTCGATAAAGACGATACCGGGATATCACTCGATCTACGATACCATCTCCAGTTTGGACTTGATGCGGTTAGCTCGCAGCAATCGGCATCCCAGGATCTATATACTTGGCCAATGGTGGTACCGCCCTCTCTTGACCGGACACCCAATGGACGGACAGGGAGGTTCTAAACTATTTGATCTCATCTTGATGAGTCGCAGATACAAGTGCACATATCCTCATGATAAAATCTTTGGAATGCTCGGCGTTACTGGTGAGGACACTAGTAGCGAACTCTTGAACCCAGATTACAACATCACACCGATGGACGCATATCGAAACTTTGTGCTCTGGGAAATACACAATAATAGAAGCTTCCGTGTCTTTGGAACGAGTTCACAAAAGGCTAGTCAACACCGCTCGTCTCCATCATGGGTCCCAGACTTCAGCAACCTTGATCCAATCGAAAGCCTGACTGGGACTCTCTTCAGTGTTGCCGGGAACGACGCCAGTGCAGGGTTGCCGATGGAAATACGAGAATCGAGTGATGGGACTACGCTACATATCAAGGGAAGCATAGTAGACAAAATCCATACTGTTGGTAAAAAGTCGTTCACGGAAAGATCCACCAAATTTAGCAAACATGATCAACGAGACGAGCGAATTTCAGTAAACGACCAACTTCGCGTGAACAGGGAAATGGTTGAAGAGGCAAGGGATATTTGGCTGGAAGCGACGAAAGGGGCAGCTCGAGGCGTTGGACCTGGTCCCGGGGCTCATATCTTCGACACCGCGATGAACCAAGGTACGCCGTTACCCGGAATCTCTCCGGGGTGGGAGCCATTTTTACGAGTGCTCTTCGGCGACTTGTCTATAGGGAGCAGATCTTCCATGGTTGTCAAGGAGATCTCTACTTCTTTTCTTCGCTTGACCCTTGCGGAAAATCAGTTGCCGAAGGAATATGCCAAGGGCGAAGAGGTCTTTGCCATAAAAGGTTTGAGCTTCTTTGCCGCGATAGCGCAGTCACGACGGTTTGCACGAACAGACATGGGGTTGGCTGGTTATGTGCCCATGAGGGCGAAAAGGGGAGATTTGGTAGTGGTTCTGTATGGATCTAAGGTACCGTTCGTGGTTAGGGAGAAGGGGCATGGCAGGTATTCTTTGGTAGGGGAATGTTATATGGATGGGATAATGCGTGGTGAGGGAATTAGGTTTGCAAAATACGAGAAGAGAGATACAGAATTGACATTAGTGTAGAGTAGCAACGCCGCTATCGGTTCATCAGCTGAGCAGGCTTTTGTCTCGCTTCACCAGGAAACGATAGCTAGATCTGTCCAGAACATACAAGCCATTAAACGTTATCGTATAAGATTGATTCCGCCGCTGCGCTATACGCGGCAGTCTCAGATAATGACACGATAATGCACCCTCGAGTCTGGACTTTGAGCGACGACGGTGTCTTGCAAGGCCCTCCACGTTTTATCGGCCACTAAGATAGCGCCCATAATTTCCACCATTTAGCAAACACCGGTGACACCCGATTACCTTTGATCGGTTATCACAAAGGATCTGACATCAAGATCTCGATTGTCCCAACAAGAAACATAACGTCAATCTCTAATCCTTGTGCACCAACAGTCGAGGAAAAACAAGTTCACATACAATATTCGGGTCAGTGGATGTTTTAATGTGGATAATTAGTCTGCATGAAGATCTTCATAACGCTACTAAAGCTCCAGGTCAAAGCTGACGGAAACCCCTGACGCTTATGCAGACCCTTGCTCACTGGCTTGAATTAACTTTTCTGAGCTCAGACTCTACAAGCACAAATGCGCGAGATTCGACACGGCTTGTAATTAACATCTTACGATATTGTGACTCGGCCTGCAGGAGACCAGGGATCAAAGCGGAATATCGACGCCACGTAGGCTGCGACGGACGAGACCGCAGGCTAGATTGTCCACTAATCCAAGCTGGAATTAGGGTCAGATGCCCTGTAGTTTAGCCCGCTGTGGCTTTTTTTCTCTTCGCGGGCACGGGCGGGAGGGGCCGGTAAATGCCATTCCATCGATTGAAGCTACGGCAGATGAACACGTTCACTTTAATCCCAAGGTACTAAATGAGTCAGAGCAGAGGATGAGCAAGGAGAAGAATGACTGGCGATGCAGTCGCAAGTTTTTCATTAATAAATACATAGAATATCCAAAAAGCCTTCCCGGTAAAAAAGTGAAGATAAAAGAGGGAATCACTTATAAATCACCAAACTCCCATCCCGTAAATAAATCCATAAATCAGGTTAAATCACCAGTCCAATCATTTAGCCATGGAGATTCCGTTTCCTGCCTCGAGGGTATCATTGGAGTCAATTGAGCATCGTCGGTCCTTGACAAACTTGGGCCACGTGTTGGTAAGCACCAAATACTTGATATGCTTCTCCGAGTCGTCGAAAATCGTCGCATCGAAGCCCTCGGGGATGTCTCCCCAGTACATAGCCTTGTCGCTCATGTATCCAGTGTCAGCGACAGAGTCAGCAGCCATGATGCCTGTCTCGGAGCCATGTGATGATGCAGCTGAGGACTTGACTTTGGTGGGTGTTGTGACCATCTGGAATGTCTCGAATGGCAACGCTGGGTCAACCTGCTTCTTGTCGCCGTAGAGGATACGCGCAGAGCTCTCAAAGACGCCTTCCAATATTTTTTGTTGCTGCGATGACAGGTTGATCTGGAATTCTGCGTCGCGCGAGCTGACGAAGCCGGTGTAGATGCGAAGAGCGCTGTTAAATCTCTCGCGGACGAGTTCTTGCACCGACGGCTCCTTGATCTTCTCGGGGTCGCGCACATCAGGCGGTAATGAAGACTTCCACTCAGCGACAGCTCGCAAGAAAGCAATGTTTTCTCCAGAGAAGTCGCGAAGGGCAGAAAATTGCTGAAGAGGTTCGGGATTACGCTCGAGAACGTACTCAAGAGCTTCCATGGTGAGAATACTCTCACCGGAGGCGCTGCTCTTGACAGAACCGTCCTTGGACCAGGACGTCAGAGCAGAGGGGGCAACGGTAGTAGAACCAGTAGCGACAGATCGAGCACCATTGGTCGCTGCGCTTTTGTTGAGCTGCCATTGAGCGATGGAGTCGAGGGTCTCTTGGCGGAGGTTCTGGTGCTGGATGACTTCCCAGCAGGGCCAGAAGATGGTAAAGATCTCGATGGCCATGATGGAAATGGCGAGCCTATTGTGCGACAGTGAGCGGGTATGTTCTTAATAGGGATGCCTTGTTGAGGTAGGTGGCTTACCATTGAGGAGGAATCCAGTAGTAATTGATGGGTGCCATGGCAGGCACATACAAGGCGATGAGCCACATTGGAGTGGCATGGAGGCTGAGTGTCTCGGTCAGTTGATGGTGTTGACCCTGATCAAGGGATAACTCACTTAGCAATGCAGCAGGCGACGGTTTGGACCCTCCATCCCTGCGTGTCGTTGACACCGCGGGCCTGCCAGAGGATGTAAGGGGCGACGATCCATGCCCAAAGGAACTGCCAGAATACAGAGGGCCACCTTGCAAGAAAGAGTCAGTACATAACGTGATAAGATCAGATTGAGGGAGAGTATGCTTACCATTCCCAGCCCTTTCCAACCTGAGACTTTCGGTACTCCTCGGAGCCGGGATGGACTTCCGTGCCGGGGACACCCCATGAGGGATGGAACTTCTTAGATAAGCACCACATGATGATGGTGAGGATGAACTGCCTCAGTTAGCATTGCCGTATGTATGTATGTATGTACGTGTGATGTCTTCCATACCTGAACCACCATTCCCAGTCCAACCGTAACAAGAATCTTCTTGGAGTAATCAAGCGCCTGAAAGCGACCAAGCAACGATCCAGGTCTAACACGACTCTTGGAAGGCGCCTTCTCATCCGAAGCAAACAGTTCCTTCTGCTGCTTGGCGACATGTAGGAAACGGCTGTTGGAAGCGTGGAACAACGCGATGCCAAAGGGGAAGTACAAGCTCATGATCCAGAACTCGCCCTCCGGTGTAAACAGCGGGAAGTAGACATATCCAGTCTGAATAGCTCCCCAGTAGATGTGAAGAAGGATGATGGCGGCGAAGGAAAGCGGGAGGTCTCGGATTCGCAGCATGGGCATGTCGCGACGTCTCCAGAGGAAGACCATGCCGCCCGCGACGATGAACGTCCAGACAAAGGTCCAGATGATCCAGAAGATGCCGAGGCCATCGAATCTGGCCTCGGGCTTTTCGGTTCCGGCCATTGTAGAGTAGAAAAGTGTAAAATATCGATGGTGTTTTTTCGAGGTGTGAAATTGAGGAATAGGGAAATATCTTTTTATTGTATTGTAAGGAACGTGGTTTGGAAAGGAATGTGTCGGGTCTCCGCAACACAAAAACGGTCGAGAGCAGAAGAGCAAATTGAACGTACAAAGCGGAGATGACGACGATATATAGTAATACGTTAATCGAGTGTGATTCCCCAAGCGTCCAGACGCTAAACAAGGATTAAGAAATCTCTTGCAGTGAAAATGCGAGCGAGAGAAAGTGAAAATGCGAAAAGAGATCGAGAGGAGTGATGTACGTAGCGAGAAACACGCCCCCCAGATAATGGCCATTCTCTCCCTTGCAACACGCCCAGCCAGCAACTGACCTGACCTGAACTTGGGCTCGGGAAAGCCAGGTTAGTGCCGTCTAAGCTCCCGACCTCCGGTGATCTTGGCCCGTCTTGGGGTAGGGCTGCCCCCCCTGCGAGATCCAACCCGCAGTTCGGGATAATTCACGAGAAAAGAGATGTCCACTTCGCTCAGACTGACAGCAGAACTAAGGAATATTGGTCGTGAACAGACCGGTTCGCGAGATGAAATTTTCAGATCGACGTCTCTGATGTTCTGTTCTGTTTTTTGCGATGCATTGATCCTGGGGTATTTTTTTTGCTTCTTTGCGTAAGGGCGATTTGAGACATTGACGACTTTAGCAAGGATCATCCTGTGTGACCAACATTTGATTCATCGTCACGGCGGCGTGACGATGATCCAAACGCCCTTGCATCGCAATGCTCAGCATCCGTTCAGCCACGAGCGTAACATTTCTTTTTTACCTTGATATCACCTGTCCATGTTAAGTCTCTCTTCTCTTGATTGACTGCGATATCTTCTCGGAGCGCCATGATTGCTGACCGAGTGTACGCCACAACAACAAAACCCTCCAGTAAAGTTCGTTAGTGAAACGCAGCACGAAAAGCTTGTGCCCCCCCGAGGCTCGTACAATATGTCCAAACGGCCGCATGCCATCATGTAACGGCTGCGTTTGGCTTGTGTCTTTAATCGCGGAGGCGGGGCCGTGCAAAAATGGAATTGAAACGGTTGGGGAGGAGTTCAGTTCGTCCACCGCCGGTTTCTATCGTTTTTCATCCCTTGCGTCTGGCGTTGTGCTCCTTGCAGTGATGAGCATGTGCTCGAGGTAGGGAGATGCAGGACACATGCTTTACCGGGGCTTGTGCTGTATCCACTGTGATTTAGGGTTACCGCTTGGTTCCTGGCGCTTCGCGTTTGAGTTTATGACGGCGCAGAGTTTCTTTTTTTCGCAAACTGCAATCACTGTATCTTCTTGAATCGTGGGACAAAAGAAAGGAAGATAATTCCTTGCGTGATGGTGTTGCATTGTGGTCAGGGAGTATCCCCGGCGTCACCCCCACTCAAGCGCGATAAACGAAGAGCTGAAGTCGATCTTGAGTGCCATCACGTCCCATCACGTTGCAGCCTGTCACCGCCATCACATTGCATTGCATCAATCGCATTGGGTTGGCTGCATCGTTGGTGGGCCAGCCTCAATTGCGAGAGACACACACACGGTGACTTCCGTCCAACCGCAAAACCGTTTCCATAATACGTGACATTATTGCAAGAGGCGCATGTTTAGCGCTCAGAGAAGAAGAGCTCTGTGAGGACAGACCATGACTCCCGACAAATGTGAGTGAGGCCTCAAATCTGATCGGTTGTAGATCTCAATAACCCGAGCAAGATGCAATCGCGGGCCCTGCACTGACAAGATAAAATGACGGCCCAGAACCAGGGCCCGACGAGAATAGCCTGGGCATCAAAAAAGAAATGATCAGCCCAATCTTGTCGTCATAAGCAACGCTGCAGTCGTTTGTTACCGGTTCTTTGGGTTTGGCCTCTCTCCACCTCTGCCAACTCCGTAACAGTGCAGCACGCACGAGATAATTGTACAACAAGACTCGGTGTTTTGTGAGTACAGCTTCTGAGGCAGTATCGCGTGGCATTACTCCGTACAGACTTTACTTCAACTGTCCTGGTTTCAGTGGCACAGCTAGCTCTCGATATCCCGTAGATGCCGTCCCGCTTCAACACCTTGTGAGCTGTCAGGAGATTGCGCTGTGGGGGAGATCGGCACTGAAGGGCGAGAAAACGACGGGGGGGTTCCAGTGCCTATCCCGCACCTCGCACCAGTAAAATCACCGAGTCTTGCAATGTTTGCTCCTCAGGTAAACCAAACAGTACTTTTCTCATCACAATTGATTGCTTGCTTGTTGGTAAGACGAACAAACGCAAACAAGGATCTTTGGACAAAACCTCCGAAGATCACAGCATCTCCACTCTTTTGTCACTTCTGACACGATCTTGCCGACTACGACCCTCCATCCTTGCACCAGCTGGTCAAGGGCCCAAACAATCCATCTCAACAGTGGACAAGATCTGCACTTCAGTGCCGAAACATCTCGGTGCGACTTGGCGGGTTCAGCAGCGGTAATAATGAAAAATACAGTGGTCACTTCAATTCAATTTACGCCGTCGCGGGAAAACCAATTCCGCGCCTGAAGGGTTTCATTGCTCCAAGATTAGTGCCGTCGCCAAGAAAACAAATGCCGATGCTGAATAGTAATCCTACCCTTTCAAAGTGTCCAATTTACGTGCTCATTCAAACATCTTGGACAGGTTCTGGACAGGCCACGCCCTCGCATCTCGAAACTTATCAACTACACCCCTCAACGCCCTCCTCTCATACCGATCCGTGAAAAAGTCCCCGTACAACTCCATCCCAAACGCAGCGTGCACAAGAGCCGGTGGACATCCCGGATGGCAGAGACTTATCCCACACAGATCCAATATCATCTGCCGCACCTGATTCTCGATTTCTCTCCACTGCGCACGTGTCGATGAATTTCCCCTGATTTGACGTCAGTGGATCTTCGTTAAATTAGATTTGATCTTGACCTACCCGAGGAAGGGGTTCTCTGCCATTAGCACCATCTTCGCTATGATGCTGAGCTGCATGGTTGTCACCTCCAGTGCGGACGAGTACCAGATTATCGGGAATATTTCTCCATTCGACCTGTCAGCTGGTCGTACATAGAACGGCTGATACTCTCTCCGTGCTTCGTCCTCCAGAACCTCGCCCTGCTTCTGAAGTCGCACTGAAAACCCCGTTAGTTACACGGCCTTTTTATCTCAAGGGTAGTACATACGCCATTCTTGTTCTGAACCATCAGCCCATCGCCATTTCGCAACCTGCGCCGTGTGAAGAACAATCTTATTCGCCTTGGACGCACCATGTCCATACTCGGGATCTAGAACCATCTTCGGCGGATGACGCTTTGTAAACGAGTGGTACAGTTCCTGGCGAACGGCCATCCAATACGCCGCTTGGATAAGTGATCGGCGGCCAAAGAGGGTCCGCGACGGTGGACTTCTCAGGACAGCGTCTATGATAGCTAGGAAATTGACCTGAGGTTTTGCGTTCCGCCTTTGGTTCCGCTCCTGCTCTTGATCTTCTTCGTCGTCGATCTCCTCCAACTGCCGGAGAATAACTGTAACCTTTCAGCGTGGGCTAGTGTTAGCGGGGGTCTGGTGAGTCTTACCCGCTGTGGCGATGATGCTCTCTAGCTTTTCGTCGTCTTGGATGAGGTGGAAGTCTCGTAGGGCGGGGATGCATTTCAACGTGTATTCTACTGCGTCGTGGGGTGTGAGTTTGGGGAGCAATTGGCCTTGGTAGAGAATTCCCTGGGGTGTTTTGTATTTCGGCAGACGGCTTAGATGGCGCGCTGAGAGGGCGAATATGGCGTAGAGAAGTGGTGGATGGTGTCGAGCGCGGAGCGGTACAACGAGTTGAAAGTGTCGTCTCTCATCGCACAAGTCAAGCTGCTCACGTTAGCATTTATCAGCCACTACCACTAGATGATCGTTACCCAATGTGACAGCTCTTCAACAAAGTATCGAAGCAAACACGCCTCTTGCGGATCTTGAAGAGGAAATTTCGTTGCTTCTCCTGAACTGTACGGCTGGTGTGATCGGGGAGAGGGAGCGTGATCTTGCGGTGGACCATACGGAGATGAATGGTCGTGGGCTACGGTGTATGCGCTCGAGTTGCTCGGCAGGTCCGTGGGTGATCGGCCTGTTGCCTGCTGCCATGGCGAAGAAGGGTAGCTCGGTGAATTTCCAGCTGATGTGTTTGCCACTGGGAATACCGGGTTGTTTCTTAGGGGTTCGTTGTAAGTTGACTCTGGAGCGTCGTTGAAATTTGCTGCGGCTGTTGAAGATGCACCTGCGCCTCCTTCCAGTGAACTTTGCGGGTTGGTATTGACTGTTGAATGATTAGGCACCTTTCTTCACTGCGAAAGTATATTTGGTCAATGACTTACAGTCTCTTATCTCACTGTTTACCCAAGTCTGGTCCGTCAAAGGTCCTGTTGATGAGTTTCGAAACACAGTTTTCTTCGCAGGTCGAGCACAAGGTAAGTTCTTAACAATACAGCGATGACACCTCGGCTGTCCTTCATCGCCTATAATTAATCAGCCATCATTCGCTATCCATATCTACTCGGTTCAGTGAATTCGCCTACATTTGACATGTTTTTCTGAGGCCCGGTCAGCACCCCGCATCCAGCCATCGACGCGACGATCTCACCTTTACATTGAAGACAAGGTCTCTTTACCACTGGCATCGTTCTCAAACAATATGTATGAGTTTGAAAATGATGCTAGGACTTTGTAATCAAGACTTTCTCACTGGGTATCCACCACTGAAGGGCTCATTGTGTAGCTTTTTCCATCACGTGCGTTGGAATCGCTGTTCTCTCCGAGATGTTGACGCGTCTTGGGCTACCCTACATATTCTCGAATTGAACCTCTTTAAGTCGCCGGGAGTAGAAGAGGCCAAAAACCATCATCGATAAAGGATATGCAACATTTGAGAACCCTTCGTATATTACTCCGTAGAAAAATTGTATATTCAAGTCGTTTGACGTTGGCCAATTGAATCTGGTTTAGCGGAATCCTTCGCCGTGTTCTGACTGTCAACCTCATCCCAATCCAATCGTGAACATCACGCTCTCACAAACACCAAAAATGTCACGAACAACAAGATCAACCACCAAAAAACTCACCCGTCTCCAACCTCCATCCCCAACACCTAAACCCTCCTCCCTAACCCCCCCAGAAACCAAACTCTTCCCAACCCCATCCTCGTTCGAATCCTACCTCTCCCTAAACCACTCAACCAACCAAACCGGTCTCTGGCTCAAAATCGCCAAGAAGAACTCCCCCACCCCCTCAATAACATACGACCAAGCCCTCGACACAGCCCTCTGCTACGGCTGGATCGACGGCCAGCGCAAATCCCACGATGCTACCCACTTCATCCAGCGCTTCACGCCCCGTCGGAAGAAAAGTCTCTGGTCCCAGCGCAACGTTAACAAAGTCGCTGATTTAATCGCCGCTGGTCGTATGACGCCCGCTGGGCAGGCGGAGATCGATGCAGCGAGGGAGGATGGACGCTGGGAGAGGGCGTATTCATCGTCGAGTAATGTGGTCGTGCCAGAGGATTTTGAAAGAGCGATAGAGGGGAATGAAGCGGCGGGGGAGTTTTGGAGGGGGTTGAACAAGACGAAGAGATATAGTTTTTTATGGAGATTGGAAACGGCGAAGAGGCCGGAGACGAGGAGGCAGAGGATAGAGCAGTTTGTGGAACTACTTGCTGCTGGGAAGACTGTTTGATCCATTGCTGGGATTGTTCTCTATTACATTAAATTCTACGGATACTCAAGAATGATCTAAGAAGTGGGAATGTGATGGAATTAGTAGTCATCTTCATCATATCCATCCTCGCCTTCTCCATCTGAGTCGTCCGCCATACCCACCGTGAAAGGGTTCCGCTCTTCATCTTCATCTTCGCTCTCCTCATCAGCAGTCCTGCTGCTTGCATCTGAATCATCGTCCACTGGGTTCTCCTGTCGATGGAGACGTAGTCTCTCAGCAAGAGATAATTTCTGGGGTGGTGCGTCTTCATCTTCTGACTCGTCACTTTCTTCTTCGCTGGAGGAGTCGCTTGCGTGAGGCTCTCTTGACACGCCGCCGTCATCCTCATCCTCATCACCTGACATGGAGCGCTGTCGTGTCTGTTCTGGCTGCACCTCTGGCTCATCATCTTCGTCGTCTGATTCAACAACTCGTGTCCTTGCGCGCTTCGCTACAGGTTCCACGTCCTCCTCGTCTTCATCATCGGAGTCCGAGACTACTCGTCGTTTGCGTCCGCGCTGTACAGGCGCTGTTTCTGACTCGGGTTCAGGGCTGGAGAAGTTTGCGCCGGCGCCGTCGTCATCCTCATCGTCGGAGATTTCTTGGGGGGCGGGCGGAGGGGAGCCGCTGGCTAATGAGATGCCCTCTTCGTCTGAGGGATCGTATGTCTCGACAACCTCATCGTCGTCAATGCCATCGCTTTCGTACTCATCGAGATCAGGTCCATTGTTGCCATCGTCATCATCATCATCATCGTCCTCATCCGAAGTGTCATCTCCCAGGTCCGGTCCCAGTGTTTGCAGCAACTCAAATCGTCGAAGTCCGTACTCGTACTCAAAAGCGACCATAGGCCATGCCTTGAGACCTCTTTGCTCCAACTCGCTCCCAAGAGGATCTGGTAAGTTGTCCCAAGTATCCCTGTCGATCTGGAATCGCGCAAAGTCGGGATGTCGCTGTAAATCAGGCCAGCACCACAAGAACTGCAAGTCTTCTCCGAGTCCAGGCTGTTTCTCGTATGTTTGCGTTTGATACCGATTGATGAGATCCGACGTGCACCATCCCAAACTCGACTTCTGGCAATCCGTACTCGAGACGTTCACATAGAAGGACTCCAGCTGGGTGAACTGTCTCAAGAGCGCTGGTACGTCGGGACCACTGAGGTCATCAAGGATGTTATGCCCACCAAGCGCAAAGTTTTTGATCTCGCTAGCAAAGCCTGGTAAGTGAAACACCATTCTCCCCGGCGGACAACTGAGACCGTTCATCAGAACAACGTCTAAGTTCCTGTTGAAGCGAATAGTAGCGTCTCCAGAACCGGCATCGATGCTCAGAGAATCAGGAAAGGCGTTGGTGGCTAGAGCGCGGGACTCTTGGTGAACAGCAAACACCGCGCGGAGGTTCTTCGTCTGATCACCAAGTGCAATACCGTCGCGTACAGTCCAAACAAAAGAACTCGCTGCGTCGGGATGCAGGGCTGTGCCATACGAGATCTGAAAGTCGAGCACGCGATGCCGAGCGCAAAGTTCCGGACAGAACAACTTCCAGATGGTGTTGCGTAACTCACTAGGAAGGCGACCAAACTGGGGGAACGAGTCGAGATAAGAATCCTGGGTCAAGTCGTCGCGGTGATAAGTGTCGTCATCTTCATCGCTGGACTCTTCTTCGCTGCCTTCAGCGGCCATGGTATCTAGTAAGCCTCCGCCGTCGGAATCATCATCGGACTCGGAGGATTCAGCGCCGGATTCATTTTCGCTGGAATCTTCTTGTTCGCTGTGAGCGCGCTCGTCGTGAATCTCATTGTCGCTCTGGTCGGATTGAGATTCGGCCATGTTTGAGGTTTTGCGCGCGTTGAGTTGAGTGCGGGAGGTGAGCCTTGACGCGCCCTCGCCCTGCCTGAAAGCTTTGGTGAGAGCTGATGCAGGATGAGATGAGCGCACGTGACTGGGATCTCTTATCTTCACGTGACCATAGTCGCTATCATCGGTTTGCGAGTTGGTCGCGGCGCGATTAGCCCCGAACGTGAATCATTGTGGGAATCGACGAGAAAATGGACAACTCGTCGGCATTGGCATTGTTGAAATATCCGAATTACAGATCCAAAGTCTGTGTTTCGCGCCCGGTATTCGTATCGTTTCCCGAGCCCCGCGCGTTGAATGGAGGAGGAGGGGCCCTCGGGAAGCAAGAAAACATAAGACTTTAGAAGAGAGTGCTAAAATAAACTTAGACAAGAGTACCCTAAATTTAGGCTAAAGTTACCTAAGTCTTTTTATCATTTAGGATCAAGGTCCTGAGTTTTCTTTCCTCCCCTCGGAGGGCTTCTGCAGTGTTACTAATCTTAGTGCATCTTGACTACTGCACGACTCTCGCTTTGTCATTGTCCATCCCCATATTTCCCATCACTAACAATTAATCTCACCAATCATTAGATCACAAGCCCTCCCTGCTCAGCTAGGGCTGCATCTCGATGTCTTGGCGTTCCCCGACATGCCGACTCTGGTATACGGCTTACATCATGATCATACCAATCATGGCCACGGAGTAGCGCAAAGCTCCGCTGCTGTACGAGGCTCCCTTTGGTACCTTATTCATCTGTCTAGTTGGACAAGGTTTCGATTGCTAAGGATTTCTGTGCCATTATGCATGCAGCTTTGTGGCTGGGCTGGATACACCATCACGGTTGTGTCGTGGACCTATAAAGACAACTCCTCGTCTTCAATAACGGTTTCATTATCAACTCACTCTCAATCCAACTCACCCAGTCAACATACTCTTTCACTCTCAACAACACCCAACAACTCAAAATGTCCAAGATTCTTACCGTTTTCGGCGCCACTGGCAACCAGGGCGGCTCTGTCGTTCGCGCCATCCTCAACGACCCCGCTCTCTCCAAGGAGTTCAAGATTCGTGGCATCACCCGCGATGTCTCCAAGCCAGCTGCCCAAGCCCTCGCCTCAAAAGGCGTAGAGGTCGTCGCTGTGAGTTAAATCGCATTCTCCACCAAAACACAATCTGACTTTCCAGGCCGACATGAACACCGCTGAGCAAGTCGCTCCCGCTGTCAAGGACGCTCACACCGTCTTCCTCGTCACAAACTACTGGGAGACCAACAGCGGCAACGGCGAGATCGCTCAAGGCAAGGCTGTCGCCGACGCCTGCAAGACCGCGGGAGTCAAACAGCTCGTCTTCTCGTCTCTTATTGACACCAAGAAGATCAGCAACGGGCGCCTTACTCACATCAAGCATTTTGAGGGCAAGGCCGAGATTGAGGAGTATATCCGACAGATCAACGTCCCCGCGACATTTGTTCTTCCTGGTTTCTTTGCTTCCAATCTCTTTACTTCGATTCGCAAGAACGAAGACGGTAGCTATGGTTGGGCTCTTCCCGCCAATGGCGACAAGGCCAAGGTTCCTCTCTTCGACGTCAACGCCGACATGGGTAAGTTTCCCAACCCCATTCACATTGACAACTACTAACTCTCCCCAGGCAAGTTCGTCAAGGCCGCCATCAAGAACTTCCCCGGAACCCTTAACAAGCGCATCTTCGCTGCCACCGACTACTACTCCCCCAACAGAATCATCTCCGAGTTCAGCGAGGTCATCGGAAAGCCCGCCACCTTCAACCAAGTTCCCGCCGATGTCTTCGAGTCTTTCCTCCCTGCCCCCATCGCAAAGGAGCTGACTGAGAACATGATGCTCTTGGAGGAACCCGGATACTACGGCGATGCTGATCTCAAGGAGAGCTTGGATCTTCTCGATGAGAAGCCTGTTACTTGGAAGGAGTTTGTTGAGCAGAACAGATCCAAGTGGGAGTAAAGGAAAGATAAAAAAAAGATAGTCTTGAACCATATTTAATAAAGTAGTATCGATATCACAAATTACCGAGATAGTTGCAGCACAAGAAATGCCAATCATTTATCCATATGCCAATCATCCATCAAGCCTCGATCTTTCATCTGCTTCACAAACTTCTTGATTGTGTATTCACCCCTAACTCGAAACCGCCCTCTCGCTGGAAGTCCAACACTCATCGTGATAGCAGTAATGACGATCTGGGCGCCATGATCCCCATATTCTCTCGCAAGCTCCTGAAGCTTTTGTTCATTGCCAGGTGTAGTTCCGACTCTGGTAAACTTGGTGACTATAACCTCTCTCGGCTCCTTCTTCGACATTGCAAAGTTTGACATGTTGTGGAATTATTTGTATCTGAAGATTGATTGAGCTTTCATGCAATCAAAAGTTGGATGGTTATAGGTTGAGATTGCAGATGGCTGGATATTAGTGGTTTTTATACCTAAAACCTGGCCCTTCTGCAGAGGTACCATGGTCACTGACAGTAACATGCAGTGGTGCTGGTCTGAAAAGTGAATATCATTCACGGAGTAAGGGGAGTTATTGGTGAGACGCCGATATGGCTGACCGTGCTACTGTGACAGGCAGTGGCCAGCAGTGGTAGGTGAGCGGCTTGGGCTCTTTATCTCAACCCCGCGCATCCCTCTCTCAGCGAGAAACATTGAGTTGAGGGGATGGGATTCAAATTTGTTGAAACTTCCAATTCTTCAGCACCCCTTGCTTCTCCATCTTCTGCCTGATGACATTCATGTTGCATCTCTTCTGGCCTACTGCCATTTTTCTCGCAAGGAATTTGATTATGATGTTATCATCTGATTTCGTCAAGCTACACCTTATGGCTAGTTGTATTATCGGTCCTTGTGAGCTGGAGTCTCGTTGTGAACCTAGGCATCGCTGTTCCATCGTGGTGCAATATGTGTTTGCAGTCGGAGTATCGGTAGGGCAGTGTCGTGATATTGTTGCAGTGACAGAATGGCTTTCGCTCGTGAACAAACCTGCCGAAAGGCAAGTCACCAGTGCAACTATATACCTCCATTCAGGAACTTGCGCGGAGAGCTTTACCTTGGTCACTGAACTTGACCCGCAGTGACTCCCATGTGTCTGCAACTATTCACTCGCCACGCGGAAAACAGTTACGCCAGAGTCAAGTAATAGACTGAAACGAAGTCCATAGGCTTCGAGGGCAGTGAGTCTATGTTGAGATTTCAGCAGTCGCTCACTGTCACAGAGGATGCTTCCAGCATAATCACTTCTGCTCCGAGCTTTGCTGTAGAGTTCAGGTTCAAGATACGCGATGAAGTGAAATTGAGTTTCAAGAGTCCTAGAATAGAATGTGAAGAAAGGCTACTCACACCTTAGACAAGTGCCGTGATAGTGTTATGGGTATAGATCGAATAACAGCACAGGTAGTTGGATACGTTACAAATTATGACTTAGGTATTATGTCCTATGTGGTTCCCATGATTTTCTTTATTGAACTTTTATATCAGCTGGCTATGTCGAAACCAAAATGAGTTCAGCTTAATTCGAATCTAGCAAGTATTCGCCTTTGTCCTGGCGTCTAATTCAGTTTTGACCTTCTTTCCAATCCTCCCACAAACCATCCTTCTCCATGCGAGCTTAAAAGTGCTTTGCTGTATAATCACCGCTTCCAGGTGGCATGGTAAAAGTGATCTCATCGGGACCGACTTTAACCTTGGTCCCGTTCCCCTTCCATTCATTTGCAAGGTTCTGTACCTTCTCCTGGTTACCAGAAGTATTACCCTTTCGGGTAAAAATAATCGTCCCGGAAGATTCAGGCATTTTGAGGATATATTTATCGTGTTCTTGGTTTGTAAAGCGGTGATGTTGATTGCTGGATTATTGATTTGTTTGATCTGAGAAGTTTGATTCCGGTCCCGTTTGGACAGGAGGGAAATGTTTATATACCCAGAACAGTTCAGTTAATCACTGGGTCAGTCACTGACGAAGTGCTATGGCGAACCGACATTCACTGCGCGATCGGAATGCCCTGACACAGAGACCAGAACGAGTCCCTGATCAGAGGACATTTCAGTTCGTAGTGGGTAAGAATGGCTTGGAGGGTGATGCACAGCGCATCATCCCTGGCGGACTGGAAAGATCTATGACAAACTGAGCTCTTGGACGCGGTTGACGGTGAATGATGGTCTTAGCACAGTCAACAGGAGACACTTTAGTTAGTGTCATGCGCTCCCTTCCCTAGGCTGACTGCCGCAAATGCGGCTTTGCTGAAGCGACTATGAGCTTGAAGAATAATATAACTAAGAGTTCTTTACTTGTTCAATATCGTCCTTTGACTTACATGTAGGATGGCCATTTAGCACATAGTGAGTCTGCTGCAAATTCACCCACAAGTTTCTGATCTTCCATTAGGCACGACGGACCTGCAATTGCACGTTAATTACTAGGTAGCATAACAAACTGTAATATAAAGAATGCTATCCCTTCCCATAGCTCAAATGTCTGTTTGCCTGCACGTTCTAATCATCTACAATTTCCAGGACACCTGGCATGAGATCAGATATAATATTTTCTTGAGATTAGAAGAACAGGGATTCAGCGTGCTTCCTCAATACTTGTGAGTGATGCACGCTTCCATCCCTGACCCCGCTTCCTTTCAACCCCGGCATCATCCTCATGGTAGATCACAGCTTCGACGACAAGAAGCCCCCTGGGGGGTATTCTAGCAAGCTAACGGGATCCTTGGACGGTATTAGAATCGGTGTCCTAAGCCCCAAGAACTGGAGTCTGCCTTCGATCGTGACCACGCCCGTACCAAGCATCCAAAAGCAACAGGTAGAGTGACCCCACGATAAAATTAGCATCTTGAGGTACTGATCGATCCCAAGCACGATGAGATCTCCGCTGCATATGGCAAACTAAGAGCGACTGGGGCTACTGTCAAAGACGTTGAGATTGCTTCTCTTGATGGGTTGGAAGTAGACAGCATAGGCCAGGTATTGAGTGAGTACCTTTGATCGAGACCCCATGATTCGAATCTGCAGGTTAGATTCGAGTCCTAACTATCTAGATTCTGGGTTTAAATCCGACTTTGAAGCCTACCTCAAGGGTATCGGACAGTAGGCCAGGTTATACAGTTTATGAAGTCCCATGCCGACTTGGAATTCCCCCCTGGTAAGTAAGCCGACGCTATGGGGGCATATACTCAACTGACTTGTAAATCAGAGTCTCCCAATATGGGCCGTCTTGAAATAGCAGAAAATTTTGTTATATCGTCCGAAGCTAGAGAAGAGGCGATCAGAAAAATGAGGGATTTCGGATGCAATCAGGCAATTGATAAATACCTCCAGGATAACGAAATTGATGTCATTCTTGGTCCAGCAGACAGCGAGATTGACGATTACTACAGCGCCGCCGGTAGGTCCTCTTTTCCGCTCTGCTAGACTGCAAAGCTCATAAATTTGGAGACTGACTCTTGTGCAGGCTATCCAATGGCTTGCCTTCCTTTGTCCTATTGCGACTATAACATGCGTCCATTTGGAATTTGTGCACTAGCTTCAGAGTATCAAGAAGGTCTACTCATACAACTGATGAGTGCATGGGACGGGGCTGTGGAGAGAAGGCGAGTGTTGCCTAGATGCCTTGAGGGGCCAACACCTGCCCCATGCACATGAGATATTTCAGTAATCGGGCACCCTGATCAGAGCCCTTTGGGCTACGTAGAGGCTTGCGAAGAAACGTAAAGGGGGTCTCTGTCTTTTGGGTGTCTTCAATAGATGAAAATACGGGATTTGTCTTATACATTTCCGCACTTCACTAACCTTAGAAAGCCAAAATGTTTGTCAAGTTCGTGGTCATGAATGAACACCGAACAATGTTTGTTTATTCATGTACCTCGAACTCAGTCGAGTAATTGCAACCGTGCCCGCTTTCCATTAACTAGGTGGCTGAATCATAGCTGTCTTCAAACCTCTGGTAATTAGGGTGGTCGTGGCGGGTTGGGTACACTTAGAAGGGTTACCATAGATAATATGGGCTGATGGGCTTCCCTGAACTGACTTTACCTCGGTCACATGGATGCTGTACATAAAACTCTGTCCGAGCCCCCGCTAGACTCCTCCTCTTCCTGTTGTTACCCACACTTATTTCAGCCAGGTTTACATATTCAACGTCGTTCCCAGAATGACTACTGAAGTCTCTACCCCAATGCCGTGCAGGACATTCTCATCATTGTACTTTGCAACTCTCTATACGAAGTTGTTGGCGGCTTTACCGTTTTTGGTGTGATTGGTTTCTTGGGTTACTCGCCCGACGACTTGTCCATCTAGCTCAGCACCTTTACCGTTGACTTCTTGACCTACCCTCTTGCATTGGCACAAATGCCGGGTGCCAACGTTTGGGCTGTTCTGTTCTTCCTCACGCTGGCTGTCCTTGGCCTCAGCTCCGCTTTTGCTCTCAGCGAATCTCTTGTCACGCTCATCTGCGATTGTGGATTAGGTCGCAAGTTCTCTCGAGTACTGATTGCCACTGTCATCATTCTCCTTTCCTTCCTCCTCTCCCTTATCCATTGTACCAAATTCGGCTTCTACCTCCTCGACGCTATCGACACATGGATTAACAACCTGTCACTTATTTTTGTGGTCTGGTGCGAGTGTGTAGGTGCTACGACCCTCTATCGCTATAAGGATGTCGTTGGGCAGATTGGTTGGACCGGTTACCTAGTCTACAACACCGGTTACATTTTATCTATAGTTCTTGGTGTAGCAATAGGCCATGCCGTGAGCCCTGCGGCTGGTGCAGGTGTTGGATTCGGCATCTTCATTGCATCCAATATCCTCGCCATCATTCTTTCCAAGTCGCCCGACTCTAGACTTCCCGGATTCTTTGGCAAAAACAATGCATTGTCCAAGATGCGGTGGTTCTCATTCTACTCTGTATGTCACACTTTGGTACTTGGCAGAACTTCTACTAATACGCACGTTTCTAGTTCAACCAGCTCCGCCGCGATCTCGACATCGCCGTTGCGGGTGAAAAGCGATGGAACATCCCTGTCTTCTAGGGCTTCGTCCTTCGATAAGTCTCAGCCCCAATTTTGGCAATCATCGTTTCTTTAGCCTTCCCGTTATTCTACACCAAGCGAAACGACCCGCTGCACATTTTCGCCTTTGCGTCCGCTTGTGGCGTTATGTGCATTGTTGCCGCTGGCTTCATCCTCCCGCGATGGTTTGACGTCTTCGTTCCTCCCGAGAAACTCCATCTTAGTGATACTTTCTATGCCCCTCAAGTAGTTATGGCTCCTCTCGAGGTTCACCGCGACGAGGTTATTGAGCACGGAGAACATGCTGGAGAGGGAGATACTCAGCCTTACCCAACGAAGAAGACAGAGGCTCAGAGCTTCTAATAGAGCTCATCTTGACTTCATTATAGGTACTTTTAGCACATATATTTATATAGTTCAACAGACACATCACCAAAGAAAATTCCAGCCACCTAGGTCAATTTGTTGGAAAAGTCCTCCTAGTTAGGTGGTCTTTTCGATGCAAAAGCAGTCCTGGGTACCATGATTGGTAGAAACTAGAGGCTTACACGTGACAAAGCCGCGTGGGTCGTAATAACTAGCTATTAAGACACTGTATAATTTATCAATAATAAGCTTAAGTTTATTAAATATAATAAATATTATAAGTAAAATATACCATCTAAATCTTATCACATAGACTAAACTCATAATAAGCTAGAAACGTAAATTAAATACTTAATTAAACTAAATAATAAAACACCACGGCCCCACAATCTTCCAGTATGCCGTCATGTGCTAAATCTCACACAGCGGGGTAAGATATAAAAATTCCCTCATACCACCTCGTTTATTTTTATCGAAGCTGATCGTTATATCGCGCACTACAATACCACAAAATGTCAGCTCCTGAGGACCCAGATACGCAAATGCTGTCCAAAGACGAGATCGAATCATGCAGCCGCCCAACGCATCGTTTACAAGAGATTAAAGTCGGAGATAACAGCGTCCAGCTCTTGGTATCGACAAAAGACCACCTCTACGACGCTAAAGACGTCGGAACTGGAGTCAACTCTTATCAAGTTATTGGCTCTTGGGAAGACAGCTCCGTCCAGGAACTTACCAAGATCTTGAACCAACGCCAAATCATTACAAATCGGCAGTCGCCCTCGTACACTGAAGCATCTCGCTTTGAGAAACATGGAACTGGAAAGTCTCTGGCAGAGGCTGGTCGGGAGCAATACAATCGGGCTGCGGACAGGACGCAGAGGAGCGAATAGAACTATCCTGCTGATTGCATATACCCTCCACTTACGCATCCCTCTTCCTCCGTGCCTTCGTTGCGTATATATTGCCGCTGGGTCTGGGATCTCAGCACAGCGTTGAGACTACCCTCTGAAACAGACCCAAAGAATTGAATAGATCCATGACCGGCCCTAGCTCCCTTGATGTTAAATAGGTCCCCTAGTGTAGACACGCATATTTGCTTTCCATCGTTCCCGACGCTGATATCTTCAACCACGTGAACCCTTCCTGAGGATGCCCATTCCGATGCCCGATCACAGACGCTTAAGCACTGTTTCGTGCTTTCCAACTCATTTTGAAGCGTCTCGCGGTTCGCGCCAGGATCGATTTTTTGATTCGGATCTTGTACCAAGGACCTAAGCCGGAGATTCTCTTCGGTTTTGTCCCGGTGCGATTCGAGGCGGTCGATGGTGTCCGAGAGATTGTAGCTGCAAGCCTTAAGCGTGGAAATAGTGAGGGAATCAGCAAGTGTCATGTTGCCAGCTGAGACAGACATGACAGCAGTATTTGAGACGGGCCCAGTAAAAACGGGCTGAAAACTCATCCCATTGATTTCTTCAAGGAGGTGCTTCAAATACTCAAGGCATCGTTCTGTACTTTCTTTTTCGCTCTCGAATTTCCGACGATTGGCCTGGCCTTCAGCAGCTTCGGTCGTGGCGCCTTGAGATACTATGTCTTGCAATTTGGAGTCGATGTCTTTCAGATGCTTCTCCAGATCAAGCTTAGTATCGCAAATCAAGTTTTTGTAGTCATTCAGAACCTGAAGGGTAACCTTGGATGAGCGTCTAGAAGCAAGTTAGCGAAGCCTTTTCTCTTGGGGTGAGCAACCAACAAGTTGGCGTCAGCTAGCGCTATAGTTATAGTCCCTTTATAACCGGCTAAGAGCTCCTTGAAAGAAGTAATATCGCCATTCATGTAAACCAACTTGGCCCAGTCTCTCCAGCTTGTTCTTGTGTCTGCTCGAGTGCGCCTGCTGTTCTGCTCGATGAGGACCTGGAAATCTACACACGCCTGTCGGCACTGGATGAGGGGAACTTTGAGCGGTAAGAATGCGGTCTCGTCGGAACGCACATAATCTTGCAGCGGAGTGAGAACTGATTCAAGACCTTTGAGTTCGCGAATAAGATCTATAACTGCAGTTCGGTGATTGCGGAAGCTTTGGATAGTCTCATAGAGTATTTTGCTTGATTGCAGTGTGGCGGTGACAACGGCGATTAGTCCTGACGCTACACTGAGTGGATCGCCCATGATGACTCACGGCTTCGCGTGTGAGGACTAATTTCTTAAAATGATAAGTATATATGCTATACAGGGTACTCTTTCTTTAATAACCTCAATTTTAACCGTGAACCAGACTGAGCTAGGCTGAGGCATAAAGAAGCATTGGGCTATTCACTGCGGGGTAAAGAAGAAGCGTGAATCTTATAGGCCCCACACTCTCTGGTGAGTATTGGGCGCTGTTTGTATGGCCTTGATTGTCTTGGAGAGCGGCCGGTGGAGTAAGTATAATTACAACTAAGTATAACTCAATAATTGAAGATAGAAGGAAAGCTGTATTTCAGTATTAATAGTATATAAATATCTAAAAAATAGTAATAAAAGATCTTCTTTCTATACCTCAAAGTAGCATAAATAAACCAGATTAGGTCTATTATACCCCGCACTGCTTATCTCTATTAAAAAGCTACAGTGCTATAAGAAAGCTATTGGAATAATATAATTAGGCAATGTTTTAAAGGCTAAATAGATTGCTTATAGTTAGCCATACTGTTATGTATAAAAAAAAACGCATGTAACAAGTAATAACACCTTTCCATCCCCCCAGAGGAACAAATCTTCACCAATACCGATTTCGTCTACCCACAACGAAAGGCGCTGCATCCAAACGCAATCCAGGCAACATGAAAGCTCGCCTATAAATACTCCTCAAAATAAGTGCCAGGAATAATGCCAAAACATCAAACCGCTTCACCACCTAGCAGCGAGACCAGTCGTGCTATCTCTCACTCAGTCACCGTCAGATGCAGTCGATTGTCTGTTTGTAGGTACTGAATAGAGATTCCTTAGCACCATAAATTTATGAGCCAGATATATGATTTGCAGTTGGGACTTTTGGCCAAGAGCAGAAATCAGCACAGAGAACTTATTTCGAGTACATACAAATGGAGATAAGGAACATCCATGCAATTCATGATTTATATCCCAGCTATCACCAACTATCTCGTTATTGCTGGTAGTCACACCCAGCACCTAGACTTGAGAGCCTATGATCTGCTTGGTATCAATTGCGATCTCATTTCCTCCCACAACGATTCATGGCCCTCCATTTTCGCAACAACACCAACTATGATATCATCCGCGCTCTCAGCGACTCGCGCTCCCGCATCAACCAGTAGTTTCAGTACCTCTAGTAACACGTGATCTGAATCTTCAATAGTTAATTGATCTGGATGGCGGAGGTATATGGACTGGCGCAGTGCCTTGAGACAGAGTGAGAGGCTCGTCTCTGTATGACCGTCCGTGGCTGTGGCATAGTTTGGATCAGCACCATAGCTCAGCAGGATACGAACGGTTTCGACTGTTTCGCTTTTGAGTTTACCGCCAATCCAAGCCTTGAGACACACATGCAGCGGGGTACCCGTAACTGTTGAGCCATGTTCATCCACAGAAGCTTGATGGACATCTGCTCCAGCCTCTAAGAGAACGGCCACCGTCGCCGGAGCTTGCTTTTTGGCCGCTGCATGTAATGCAGAGCTACCACAGTCATCTACATAACAGGCATAAGCATCATGTTCCAGCAGCCTTTGTACCAAACGTGTGTTTCCTCGACTAGCGGCCTCGTAGATCAGGGTACGACCCCATCGCGTTTCATAGTTGATAGCATTCGTCTGGCGGAGGACCTGAAGGTAGCGAGTTTCCTCATTGTCTATGGGAGTATCGGCGGCAATGAGAAAACCTCCTTGGCAGAAATAGTGTCTTGGGTCTGGATGAGTGTTGGCGTAGGTCCGAAGACAGCGCATTATTTCCCAACTACCTGCTTCATCGCAAGACAACAGTGCAAGCTGGAAGCAATCTAATCCGTCTTTACCTGCCTGGTACGGACTGGCTCCTAGCTTTAGCAGGGTATCAATGACAGATATGCTAGCAGCTCTCTGTACGCAAAGCTGCAGGGGCGTGTTCATGTCCCAACCAGTCTCATTGATATCAGCTGCAGCGTGCATAAGCATTTCAAGAATACGGGTCCAATCATCAGAGGGAAGTGGCTGCAACTCATAATAAAGCACCGTTCGATCCCGGCTTCCGGGAGCTGAGACTGTGGCAAGTCTTTCTGATACCATACATAGTTCGTTTACAATATTATGATAGGGATCTACACTCCAATAATTAGCATTTAGCGGCTCTAGCCAGGATTAATCATGCTCACCCAGCAAAGATCTCAGATTTACAGGCTTCTTGATGTGTTTTAACAGCTCGGCTGCAATGTCCCAATTGTGACTCTTCAAAGCCAATGACAAAGGCGTTTGCCTAGAAGGCGTTGCTCCATTTTCCCAATCACACACAGAATCCAGGGAGCTAAGACTTGAGAGCTGAAAGACGAGTTTCATGCAATCTCTTCGCCCTTTTCTCACATCTTGGGCGTCATTGGGCGTGACAGGTTTCCGAAGATCGAAGTACTTCCAATGAGCCATCCAGTGCAATGGTAATTGGCCGCTTTTGTTTGGAGATTCTATGCTCAACCCGGCCGTGCACAACATTTGCACGACTGTAGAATTGCAGGTCCGTAAGGCGTAATGCATAAGCGAGTTGCCTTCCGTGTCTTGGATGGAAATTGAAGCTCCTCTTGAAACCAGTAGCTTATATAGATCGACTCCTTTCTCTTCATAGGAAGCGGTCATAAGATTCATAATTGGTGTTCGCCCATCGCTGGCTTGAGCATTGGCATCAATCTTGTCGATACCCAAAAGCAGCTTGACTGCTTCTTCCCGTTGATTTTGACAGGCTCTGTGGAGAGGGGTTTGCTTAAATCTTCTCTCCGCGTTATTGACATCGACCCCGAGGTCAATCAAGGCAGCCATGCCCTCGACCCAGCCAGATACTGCCGCTTCGTGAAGCAGACCAAGGCTATCAATCCCAGAAGCTTTCACAAGCTTGAGATCAAACACCAGTTTGATGATAGGCAAGTCCTGGGACCGCGTGGCGTGAATCAGCAATTTATCCACAAACTCAAGAAATCCAACATCTGGCTTTCCCTGCTGGTAATCGTGGTCCGGCCTCGCTCTTCTTCCGTAATCAGCCTTGAGACTCTGTCCAAAGGGTCCATAAAGGAACGGATCAAATGTATAATATCCCTCACCACTTTCTCGAGGTCTGTCTTGTTTCTCACGAAAACTCTGCTTTAGGGCGTTGAAAATGGCAGAAAACATTTCGATATCTGTCCCCTCTGAGTAGAACTTGAAAGGACTCTCATTTGCCCTGGTAGTCATGGCTCGAGCTTTCTCGACCGTCATATCGTTCAGTGACGGTAGTGAGAGCACTGGCGACATACCGTACTGTGCAAAGCGTGTCTTGAGATTTAAAAGCCGCTTGACAATCTCGGTCTGGCCTGCGGATACTGCCCAGTGAAGTGGAGTGAGTCCTTTGACATCGCATCGAAAAGGAGCCGTGTCATAGCGCCAGAGCATTTCAATGATATCCGCGTGGCCCTTGAAAGCTGCCCAGAATGTTGGCGTCCAGCCTGCGAGATCCGGAAGATCGGGACTGGCTCCCAATTTGAGAAGAATCTCAACTATACTCTCATGCCCCATGGACACGGCCCAGTGTAAAGGTGTCCAACCGTGAGAGTCCCTATTGTTCAAATTCTGTTTCTGAGTGCTCGGAGTTCCCTGTCGAGTATAACTCAAGCTGCGATCAATGTACGCTTTGAAACCCCAGAATGCGGCCACGTGTAGAGCCAGTACATTTCTAGGACTAGAGTCAAACATAGATTTGGAGACAGAAGTGTCGAGATGAGCTTTGAAGTTCAAAAGCTGCCAAGAGCTGTCCCGAAGAGCATCGTCCTCTAGAAACCCCGAAAGCTGGTGGGAGCATTCATCTTCGACTTCTTGAGCATGGTATCCATAGAAGTTCGCTGCATAATGTAGGAATGGCTGCTTTTGACAACGTTGAATGACGTCTTCGTGGGATAGACAACGGCCCTGGCTCATCTCATCTGTTGACATGTACGAGATGCAGCTGCGAACAATCGTAAGATGGGGGCGCTTATCCATCCCTTCAGGTCGACTCTGGAGGAAGTCTCGCGCAGTCGAGTGTACGAACTCGACGATTTTCTCCGGTCCCGAAACCACAAGCAGTCCAAGGCATGATGAGATAATAGCTTTAGAAGGATGAAGATCCTCAGGGTCAACTTCCAGCATGCCTTCCTCCGTAGTGAGAGCATGCTGCAGTTCGACCATCCGTAAAGGCTCCTTGACGTACGAAATGAAATTCAATGATTTCAAAGCGAGGTCCGTCAGACTAGTGGTTTGCTTGACTATACGATCAAACGTGCTCAAGTAAGCCTCATTGTAGTTAGCGGGTAACGAGGTCAGGGCCTTTCGTATGTCCTTGATGGTGAGCAGGCTTGTGATGTGATCCATGATGAGCCGAGCAAGTAGGAAGCTATGAAACCCATCAGTCTATCAGCATGTCAGACGACTACGGAGTGAACTTACGACCCGGCCACCCTCTTCGCAATCGTCGATACAAGTTCTGACTTCAATTCTATCCCAATCGACTCAGCATCAACTTCTCCATGTTCCAATCGGTGATTAACGTAGAAATCTAGGTCTTGTCTAGTGGCAGAAATTTCCACCCTTGGCTTCTTCTCGAAATGCTTCCTAATTTTAGGTAAATCCCGAGCTGTTGCAAAGATTCTAACTCCCAAATTCTGTAATGTCGACAGGATGTTGAAAAGCTTTGGAAGAAAAGGGCATTCGTCAAGTGCATCAAGAATGATACACGTGGTCATTGACTTGGCAATCGCCCCAAGGACACTGACCAGATCAGTCACCATTACATTCTGGGACCCTTTTTCATACAGGGCCGATGCTTCTTGGGGGATCACAGGGCAGCCGTTGAGTACTTGGGCGATAAGGCCTCGCAGGAAATTGCTCACAGTTTCCTTGGGCCTGCTGCTACTGAAAAAGTGTGAAGCAATGGCTGTACCAGGTAAGTTACCAGACTTGACATGCCGAAGAACGAGGGCGCTGTCATTAATGGAGTTAGTACCCTTGAGTTGCTATCCCGTTTGTTACCATCGGGTGGATTTCTTACGCCAATACTGTTTTCCCAGCACCAGCTAGAACTTCTTCAGTATCTATATGTCAATAGGTGGAGAATAACTGACGTTGTCCATATCCCCAAACGACGGGTGTTGAGCCACTTCGCCAAGATTGATAGAAAGAGCCCGATAGAAATGTCTGCCATGTAGAGGGACAGTAATCATCCAGGTGAGAGGTTGAAGCCTCAATTGCGACATCCCACTTATACCAGGCAATTATTTCCTTCGCTTCGGTACCTATACATACACGTTATGGCCGCTTGTCCACTAGATAGACAGAAGAATTTGTGAGGCAGACTTACTTTGCCTAATGTCTCGCAGCTCTTTGTTCGTCACGATTGCCACGGTTCTTGACAAACAATCAGCCAAGATCCCCTTACCAGCCGAGCAACGTACAAATTGTCAGCTTGCAAGGCAGATGAGAAAATTCCATTGTAGCGATGCAGCATATTTACTTTTTCCAGCAACTCCGATTCCGACAACGGCCAAGCCAAAGCAGACACCCTGGCCTTGATTCTGCCATACGACAGCTTTTTCTCAAGTTTTGCCCTCAGGTTTTCTACTTCGAGTTGGCAGTCGTGTAAAGCCTTGCTGAGTGTCTGGCTATTCTGGCCGTTGAACCTATTAGCCTGAATGAGGTCTTCGAGCTGTAACAAAACAGAGGTGAGCGTTGCAAGCTCCCCAATGTACGAGGTTAACGATTTAGGCGCACCCCGAACGCTGGCGATGTAAGTGTAGCTGAGCTTGGTGACTTCTATCGCTAGACTGAGAAGGCCCGCGGCGCCGGAGACGATACCGAGAACTTCGGCCATTTCAGTTCTGTTCCTGTATCTGTACTCAGGGTTAAGTTGAGGTTTTGTTTTGGCTGCCTGTTGGTGATGATCAACCGCGCGGGGTTTATTTCAGCTGGCGAGGTTGTCTTACTTGCACGGGACTAAGATTGCAGTTGGCGTAATTGAAGCTCTCTTACTGGCTACAGAGTTACAAATGTAATCAGCCAGCCCGTATAAAAATAGCTAGCGAATGGGCATGCCGCATCAAACCAGGGCTGAAAGTGACACTGTTAATAATGCCCCGTTTCGGTATTCATTTAAGTAGTTGTAACTGTTGTATAAGGTGTATTATTTTGTATAGAATTAATTTGCGCTTTCTGCTGTTGGCAAATTATTATGCGGCATTTTCTTTCCCTTATTTTAGAATAAGAAAATCCAAATCGTGGAATTTATTGCGTTCCCGTCAACTAACATGTCTAGAGATGATGACTTTCTTAAAACGACTATGTGATAAAAGCATCACCATGTGCCGAAATCAGTAATGCGTAACCACTCCCTTACCCTGTTATTCTTGGCCAATCCCTGCAAAGACCAAAAAGCCTTCGACAAACCTTTCCGTACTCTCCCACGAAATTAAAATGCTTCCACAATCCTGTGCCATGATGGCATAATCTAGCCGCGGGGTCTGTTATTGGTTTTCTGCCCATAACGTCGTTACGGCTTCCGTGGCTCGGACTTTGCAATGTTAGCAGTCTACGAAAGGCAGATTATGCTTAAGAGAAATGGACTTACTGAAAGCCGGTAATAGGAAGAATGAGTATGTCTTCAATCAACTTAGATTTACCCCCATCTTTGACACCTGTCAAGCTGGTCCATCGAAAGTCCACATCGTCCTCTAGCCAGGACTTGGTTGCAAGAGTGACAGCCGCAGGACCAGTTCTCTTGAGTGGGTCACTATTCTGAGCCGCTGTTTCGTTGTCTCTGGTACAAGTCCGTAGATTGTCCATATATCGTTCGAATACCGGGTGTTGAGGAGCAGCAGCGAATGCCCATTGCGATAGTTGTTGAGGATATGTATAGCTTCGTCGCCAGTATGCATCGGACTCTGGGTCGTTATCGGCTTCTAGTCCCCAAAGAAGGCTGACTACTGGCGTTTCGTAGTCTGCTGTTCCTGAAGTATTATGATAGCCGTGAGTCTTTCCTGTTTTCGGGTCTGTCCAGGTAGCTATATCAGATCCGCTTATCCACGCAGCTGGATGTCGTATGAGCTCAGTATCAAGATCCGCATACTACATTAGTTAGAATAGACTGTAGAGTGTGTTCAAAGTAGACTGACTATTCCACCAAAGTGCTTGCATACTAAAATGCGAAATACATCGCTTCGTTCAACCGGTGTAAGGAGCGAGTCATAACGCTCAAGAAAGTCGTTTTCGTATTGTTCCACGAACCCACGCATCCCTGTATCGTCCCAGAATAAGTATGCCATCGACGGTCCACTGTCAACGTAGATCGAGTTCTCCAGCCACAACTCAACCCAAGGTAGTATTCTGGGATCCCAAGTATCGGCCGCTGTCGTTTTCCAAGTTTGATGGACAATTAATGGGATATCAGAGAAGGGTATCCTTCTCTCTCTGTTGGATAGAGCGCTCTGTGAGATTATTCGAGCAGCGTCGAGAATATTTTGCGGACTTTTACTGCGCATATCAGCCCAATATGGAGGGATATGCCATGCTTAGTCCCAGTGTTAGTGTTGTGAGCATTATTTGCGGTGTACGATGTAGGAATATTCCGACTTACCACCTCCTGTGCCGTTGAACGAATGGATATGTCTATAGACTAGTGGGTACTCCCTCGCAATATGACTTGCCCCGGAGCGAGTTGTCGGCAAGTTCTTTATGAAGGTCCATGTTGCTGTGACAAAGAATGATAGAAGGCCCAAAAGTCGTATACGACGGGATGGACGAAGGAACTTGCCATGTAGACCACGTCGGTGAGTCATGGTTCCAGAAGACAACAGAAGAATGGTGAAGTCATTAAACAAGAAAGAAGATCATATAAACCGCTATAGCGAAATCTCGGTTACTCTGTCGTTCGATCCAAAGGGTTCATTGCAAGACAACAAGAGATAGTAAGAGCAAGTAGTTGATAACAGCACTATTGACAAAATCTATCGAGATATGGACAAGGGCCCATGAGTGTTAAATTCTAATATATGTCCGAGGAATGATAAAGACTCTCTGGTAGCTCTTTGACTGCTAAAGTACGCTAGATTCGAAAGAGAAAAGTAGTACCATTAGGGATAGAGGATCTTGATCGACTTCGCCCCGTGTGATTACGACAACTTCCAACTTGAGTAGAATCTTTACGCGGGTTTTTAGCGACGTGATGCGATTCGTGGAGGGATTGTTATCATGGCTAGCTGATAGTTGGGAAGCCAGGATTGGCTGAGTCCCGAACCAACGTCGAGTCTATCAAGCTAGCTTATACGGATATACCGCGGAGGAGAATCATGAGATCACACTATCGAAGGCCTGGTGAAAAGAGTTCTTCTAAATTCGATGGTGGCACAGCCTACTAACGTAACCGCCTCCACTAGGTAGGTACGCTAAGTCATGCAGTAGGCCGGGCCCGTCTTGGCGTAAAAGCTTGGTATGAACTGTAGATCATGGCGAGACCAAGCCCTCCAATCGGACACAAGACCGAGCACACAACTCGACAAGTCACAACAGGTGGAGAGCTAGGAAACGCGGCCCAACTACAGGACTGTGCACACCGATAACAGTTAAAGTAGACACTGAATCAAGAGGTTTATCGTCATTCATAGAAGCACTCAACATGTGTTACACTTACTTACTAATAGGGTATAACAAAAATAGTATCTTACGGCATAGTGTATGTGCATCATGAGGCAGACTACGTCAAGTAAGAGGAAGGAAGATTCATTGAAATCTGCCTTAAGTTTTCCAATGATGCAGCTAGCCACCCAGCTAATTGCTAGCCATAAGGTTAGACTTTAGGCTACACATATACATAACAAGCATATAATTCTCAATCATGCGAGATCTTGCCGTCCAAATGTCCTCTCTTTAGCCCTTGGACATGTAGCTCAGTCCGTACGGTAGCAGGATTGTATGAAGAAAATGACAACACGTCAACCTCTGTTAGCCCACAGAAAATTCCAACGACGCAAAATTCCTGAGCGACCGCTTGGCTAGAAGCCTAGAATATCTCCCGGAGGGTTATCTACGTAGTGTCAAGCCTGGCGGTCCTCAGGCTACGCGCGTCTACCCCGTGAACTGTGTGGTGTTCCACGCGGGTCTCGGCCGCTAGCGCAACGGCTGATTGATGGTCATGATGCACAGTTTTAGTCTAAAAAACGCTATGGCCCCTAGTTATGCTTGACTAGCACAAATGAATAGCCACAAACTCTAAGCACAATGTTGGCGATGAACAACGAGGACGCGTCATCAGCAGAAAGGGCTCTTGTCACTTGTGAAACACCTGATCTAATGCCCAGCTCAACTGAACTGCCCTGGGTCATTCCTCCGTCAGAACAATGAACAGTCTAGTATACGAGCCACTTGAAACACAAATGCCTCTTGAAAAGTCGAATAAATGGGAGAGAAAAGATGCTACTGGCATCTTCTTTTGATGTTCTAGTCAGTTGCTCCTAATTCCTTCAGCTTTACACAGCAACAGTGTCTATTCATTTATGTTGAAGACAACATAACATGAAGGCTTCTGCTTACTTCTACGTTAAACGCCTAGCCGGGCTCGACCATTATAGGCCACTTCCCTCACAAAGAGAAGGCGATTTGTGCCAAGTCGAACACGGTCTGCCACGATGCAAACAACACACAGCAAGAGTACGGCAAAAGCGCGTCAGATTTTGGCCTACCGCGATCCTTTGTACAATGATAATCTTGTACGTTACGTTTTATCGAGTCATACTCGTTATAGCCAAGATACACCTACAGCAGCTAATAGTTGAGACAGAGCGTCTTTCTTCTTAGTATTTCCTGTCGTTTTGTCAAACGCCCTTTATACGTATGAGACGACACAGTCTACGTTTTACGGTCGACTTTTCAGACATGGAAATCCACATACAATGCTGCGTTATGGGGCACGCACTTGTCGCCCCTCGTCTCTCCAGTAACGTGTCACTCTCACAACGATTACTGGAGACCTCATCCTCTGATTTCAGCGCTTGCTGTGGGCTGTACGAGTGTCGAGGCAGATGTATGGCTCAGCCCGGATGGACAAGACATTCTCGTCGGCTATGAAAAACGCTTCCTTTCCCCAGAACGCACCCTACGATCACTTTACATCGACCCGCTGTAACAGATCTTGGACACAATGAATCGTCCAGCGCCACACAAGGCCTTCAATTCCTTTGCCCAGGCCTCTGGTGTCTTTGCCACCGAACCGAATACAACACTGATACTCTTCATCGACGTGAAAGACGATCCAGTAAAGACATGGCCTTTGGTTCTTCAGCAGCTAGGGCCTTTGCGCGATTTGAGATACCTATCTTGCCACGACAGAACCATGGGCACAAATCAGACATTCTGGCCTGGACCAATAACCATATTAGGCACAGGAAACATTATTAAACGGCGCGACATCAACATTGGCACAGACCTTGAAGAATGGCAGCAGCGCCACGATACATTTCTCGACGCTCCCTTACATCTGCTCACTGAAACAGGCTTTGTCCAAAGCAAGGAGTTTTACGGGCCCTACGAATTGGAAAATGAATTCTATACCGCCTCTGCCCCTTTCAATAAGGCTATCGGCAGTGCTCGGACGGGCTTTAGTACCCAGCAGATGGAAACTCTGCGGGACCAACTTCGAAGCGCAAAGCTTCGAAACTTGAAGTCAAGACTATGGGGGTTACCTGATTGGCCAAGGGGACATAGGGACTACGTGTGGAAAGTACTTGTGCAAGAGGGTATTGATTTACTCAATGCAAATGACATCGCCAGTGCAGCGAGTATGTATCGACAGCCAAGGCCCCTAAGGGAAGCTCTATGACTGGTCGCAGCTATATCCTTTATACCTTCTCTTGTACAGTATGGGAATGTTAGTATACGGGGTAGTTTATAGTCTGATAAACCTCTACGAGAGATGTAGAAAGATGAAAGCAGTAGCTTGACGAACATACTCTTCAATCTAACTTGTTTGTTCCTTGAAACTAGACGTCATTAAGGGAGTCAGATATCAAGTTCAGCTGGCAATACTTGACGCGTGGCAGATCATTGAGGGCCATAGTGGAAAACAAGTCCTGCAGAGTCAAGACCTCCATGGCAAAGCCACCGACGCATTTAGCCCCTCATGGTGTTACGGGGCAGCCAATCGAACGTAAGATGTATTTCAGCCGCCTGCAACTAGTGTGGCGGCCAGAGCAGCGGGACGCGTAATGGCCTATTTGCTAGTCTTGTTCCCATCAATTCTCGCACCCGATACCCACGTTTCATGATCTGATCTCTTCGCTTAGTTTATGCTAAGCTTTTTTCCCAAGACGGGTTCTATCAACCCATGCCCTTCAGTATTACTAAGATTGAGTTAGCTTTATAGCTGCTCCGCCTCAACTAGCGTTACCAACCTTCAGTTAGCCCAAGGGGCTGCATTAGTTAAAGTCTCATGATTCTCAACCCCCAAAGTGCTTGTCCAATCAGATGCTTTAACTGACGTGCACAAAATCTCGCAGTTGAATGCCCAGTGCTGCAGGCGTTGAGGACATCAGCAACTTCTTGCTAGCCTAGACGTACAGTCCGCTCCACACCAGGAAAGTGGTCTCTAAGATCTCTACTCTGGACCGAGGCAGTCCATGGCCATATCACGCTATCATCGTGGTGCCCGTAGTTGTCAGTACTTATTCGACCATTCTCGAAGAACTCCCCTTCGAAGCGCAACAGCCCGACTCGCCTAGAGATGCCATTGCTGGACTGCACAATCATCCCGTAATCGTAACTTATAACTATACATCGGAGTGTCATGGGATTGAGGCCGATGGTGTCGGTGTCGAAAGCAAGGTGTGAAACACTTGCAGCCCCGCCACCCGTAAGATCCAACGACCACACAATCCCTCTTTCAAGCGTTCCAATGTTCTTTTGAACAACAAAATGAGTCCATTTGCCTTCGAGGGAGTGATCCTCCTTGGTGACCCAGTGCTGGCTTTTGCGTCTTGTAGGAAACGAGTCGTTCTTTGCCCAGGTTTTCGTGGGCCTATAGGGCGCGCGTTCTATGAAAGGCACATCGAAAACCTTGGTTGTTATTCTCAAGATACAGGTCAACCCCAAACTTGCGTAAGATCCACCAGAAGTGAGCGACCGTGCGAGCGCGTCGTTAAGTTCCACGACTCCCCCTGCTGTTGTTTCCGCAAACAGAGGCACTTTGAAGCTCTTTTCCAGATGCTTGACGTTGTCCAAGAAGTTCCATCTCACTCCGACTTTCCAGCCGGACCATGACCACGTTGGAAAGCCGTCCCTCTTGGCAAATCCAGTCTTTGAAATGTGGATGTCACTCCACGCTGGCTCCCATAACATTGCCCACAGAATAGCACCCACGACATCATCATGCTGCGCTTTCGCGACTTGATAAACATTCTTATTATCCAGGTTTGAGAGTTGACAGCCAATCCATCGTAGTGGTAGACCCCAGTATTGTTCTACTGGTGGTTCTAGCTGAGCATAGAAGCCGAAAATTCCCTCCATTGCTCTCAACACGTCGGAGTCGTATGTAAGTTCACGCTTGGAGTATGCCTTTAAGTTTGTCATAAACCTCCAACTCCTTGGTAAGTATATTCCTGTGTCTGATTCTTCATATAGAATACGCTCAAAGATGGGGAAAATTATACGTTCGCAGCTTGTGAAGTCTTGTATCAATTCCTCAGCACAGGTCATGCTTCCGCATTGATAAAAGACTTGATCGTCAGCAAAAATGACGCACCTGCGAGAGAATACTGCTTCCTGATATGTCCAGCCCCTGGCTGACCACTTTGAGTGCCCCACACGATATTTAATCGGTTCTGGCTTGTATTTCCATGTGGTTCCGTTCAGGGTGAACTTATTTGGAATCGTCCGAGAACGCTGGCCGACACCAGGTATACCATACGACGAGCTTTCTCCCGCAGCAGCCACTATGGTGATGCTTGCTTGGTTATCTAAAGTTCTATTAGCTCGTGGTCCAAGTGTTATGTTACATGCCGTTCTGTGGACATACAGATGGTATTCATTTGACCCAACTGGCACATCATGTCATCAGTACTTCTTTGATCAATGCAAAGTTGATCAACCCATAGATATCGAAATCCTAGTCGGAGTGTAACACGAATGGCGTCTCTTATCACTGCCTTGGAAAGCACGTGAGTATGCCGTTCTGCGAGATTAGAAGAAGCACCCCATACATAGCTCAGTGCAACATATTCAGTAAGCCTTATGCACTCTGCCACAGTTTCTGTCACGCAATCCAGAAGCCTGAAATTTGCTATCTGGAGTGGCTTTTCTGTAAGCATCTGACAGGCTTTGCCGTGAGTGCTGTAACAATGGGCGATCCACTCTCTGATCATGGGGTAATCAACATGAGCGGGATCTATGTGCCGGTACTGTGCAATCTGCCTGGCTCTGCAAGCAGCTTATCATCGGTCATCTGCAAGATGTATTCGAATCGATCCTTGTGAAGTATACAAACGTGATCGATTCCATTAATATCATAACGACTTAGCTCTATTGTTGTCGAGTCCTTAGATTCAACAGGTGTGTCCCCGCGCCGCCATTGTGACAAGAGAAAAAGGCACAGAGGGCATGTGGAAGTCTCAGAGATATTTAGCGATACGTCGATTCCATCTATAGTGCCATTCGAAGATATTTCATCAAGATTGACGGACTGGCATGCTGTGCAAAGATCTTTACTCTGCCAGCCGGAGCGACCTGTACCGGGTTCCAATCGTCTGTGGGGCTCTTGAAATAGTAACTGACCATCAGCGATCCTTGCAAGTGGCTAGAAATTGTGAAAGTACGAAGTAGGTTCGACTTCCAAGCACATACTGACCTTGATTATTGGCTTGAGTCAATGTCGAAGAGTGAAGCTCAGCACCCGCCGTCTTCTTATGCTCGTCCATACCAACTGCTCTTGATCAGTGATACTGTCCTACGTGATATCGTCGTAATAAGATCAGACAAAGCTGACGTGCCGCTGCGTGAGAAATGAGACAAGAGTTTGACAGGGACAGACAGAAAAGCAGGGCAACGCCGAAGCATCTCAGGGCTGTAATAAAACACTAAGAGTGATGATTTGAACTGGAACTGTAGTCTCCATGGGAGGAATGTCGAGGCTTTTGAAGAACACTGGTGCTATCGCACAGTGTGGTCATTTTTGCGGGTCTCGCCTGTTGTACCAAGCGAGGGGGTTACTTTGGATGTTAGACAGGACGAAATATTGCCTAATAGAACATCGACCAGAGGCGTACATGTCTCTGCTGTAAAGTCATACCAAGAACCTAGATGTTCCACAGAATTCGCAAGATATACCCAATATGGATCCTTAGCCATATACCCCTCAGGAGTCTCCAGTGGGAATCCAAGCCAACCTTGCTATGTTTCTTTGCTTTTCAATCGGCTGGAGGAAAACCAGTGTTCGAGCGGATCATCTTTCATCAGGACATATGAAATCATTTGCTATTCATTCAGGTCACGCAATTCCCATGCGGATCCGCCATCTGGTGATTCTGGCTTTTGGAGCGGGGTGGGGAAATGTCTGCTATTACTTTGATTTGCACTCAAAGTAGTCTGGTACTTGTTTAAAGAAGAAAGTATATAAGAAATTTATAGAGAAGTATTTCTATTTTGCTAATTCCTATAGACTTAACCTAAGTTATAACTAATATAATAGTAGGTAATAAAGAGAAGTAAGTTTATATTTTTAGATTTTTAGACTTAGATAAATAGCAAGTATAGAATAATTTATAGATTAAGATAAAAAGATTACCTTCTTGTCTATAAGTTATCTTTAGCGCTTAGCTTTAATATATCGGTTTATTATATAGAGATATAGAATAGTAACTCAAGTTTTCCATCCTTAGATTTGTACCAAGTTCTCTATACTAGTTTAATCTCTTGGCCGTATGTGTAGACTGCGAAGAATAGATTTAACTCACAGCTTGGATTTTAAGTCTTCCTGTACATAACATAAGTACTCTCTTCTAGCTAGGTTACTAGGCTGTTATACAGGCATTTTTTTAAATAAAAAGTACCATAGTCTAGGTAACCGTTTACGTAAATCTGCTACCCAGTGCAACTTTAAGTTAAAATGGATATTATATTAACATAACTTGTTAACTATCTCGAGATTGTTTGCTATTTAGCCCTATTCCTAGTGGAAATTGTCTTTTTCCAGACACTAAAAGGTATAAATTCCAGCCTTGATACAGAGCGTGGAGAGATCAATGCGGTAAGACAATTTAAACTTGGGTTATTAATCTAGTTTAAAAAATAAAGAATTTATTATATCGCAGCCAAGAAAGCATGGACTATGTAACTACTTCTTTGTTAAAGAAGATATTACAGTAAATACCATACCAAGTTGTTGACAATAGATATAAGCCCTATTTCCTTGTTATCTTGATAACGAGGGCCTTCGTTTTTGGGTAACTTGGCCTAGCGGTGATCATTATACAAGTCTACTGAAACCTGTAGATAATTAGAATGCACAGAATAGATAGACATTTGAGGTATGGAAGGGTGAGACTATTCTTCAAATGACAGTTTGTTATGCTGTCGCAAGTCTTTTACTCCTAATGGAAGGCTATAAGCTTGTGGAGCATTGGCGGCAGTATCACTATGTGCTGAAGAGCCATCCTACCCTACATATATCTCAGAGGAGGTCTTGATTGGACGCCACACTGGGAAATGGATCTTGACATTTTGGAGGAGAATAAGTTTTTAGATCCTATCAGCTATTATCAATGTACGCTTGTGGCTACCCTCGAGAGATATGACCCTGAAAGGGCACTGGAGTCAACCCGCTTCGAGTTGAGTCTGCACTCTTGAGTGCTATCCGGAAATACAGTGCGTGAGTAAAAGATGCTGATGTAGCTGGGGAAAATATATCAATAGTTTGTCAATTCAAGGAGTCAATAACAAGATTCATAATATGCTTAGTAACTCAGATCTAATGCATGTTTGTGTGTATGAGGTCCGGTTGGAGTAGCGTTCGGGTATTCGGGTAACCGTTTTGGAGGCCGGGTATCCGTAACCCTAAAAACCGGCGGGTGATGTCCAAGGGTAATAGGGAGGGTAATGGATTATGAATCCAGATCAACTTTTCTTTACCGGCTGACATGCAGCATTCAATTCCGGTTGGTATAAAGAGACCAGAGGCGTTAGCCTGGTGAGGATTTCACTAACATATCAATGATCCAAGATTGTTAAAATTATATTCCCTTACATCGGGTACTTCATCAATATGCGAAGCACAATTGTAGTTATAGGTGCTGGTTTTGCCGGAGTTTGGAGCGCCCTCTCAGCCCAACGTGTCATCAACCTCAAGAGGAAGAGCAGGAGATTCAAGTTCTCGTCATCCCCCCCGAACCATCGCTTACTCTTCGTCCACGTCTATACGAACCTAATCCATCGATGATGAAACAACCCCTTGGGCAGCTTTTTACACCGGCTGGTATCAACTTCTTCCAAGGCACCGTCGAGACAATCGACACACACAAGCAAATAGTCCATGTCACATCTCTATCTGGTGACGAATCTGATATTACTTACGACCGGCTTGTCCTTGCAGCCGGGAGCACAGTTGCGCGACCCAAGAGTGTTACCGGTCTCGAGCAGTATGCCTTTGACATTGATTCCATCGCAGCTGCCACCAAGCTTGAGTCTCATATCAAGAATCTGGAAACCATTCCCGTCGGCAAAGCTCGCAACACTGTGGTTGTCTGCGGAGGTGGCTTCACAGTCATTGAGATTGCGACAGAACTACCCAATATGCTCAATAATATTGAGCACCCTCGCGTTGTTCTCGTTGAAAGTGCTCCAGTTATTGGTCCTGAGCTTGGAGAAGGTCCTCGTCCAACGATCATGAAAGCTCTGAATGCTCTCGGTGTTGAGCTCAATCTCGGTGCTTCTGTTACTTCAGTTGACTCGAGTGGAGTCAATCTTTCGTCTGGACAGCGGATTGAATCTATGACTGTCATCTGGACCGCTGGAGTGCGCGCAACATCCCTGACACAGCAGATTCCTGGCCAGAGAGACATGCTCTCCCGACTTCACGTCGACCAAGATCTCCGCGTTCCTGGCAGTCCTCACGTCTTTGCAACCGGTGACGCCGCCCATGCGGCAACTGATGCCAAGGGCAATATCGCCATGCCCTCATGCCAACACGCCATCGTCCTCGGCCGTTTCTCAGGACAAAACGCAGCAGCAGACCTCCTCGGCGAGCCAACTCTTCCGTATTCTCAACATGGATACGGCACTTGTCTTGGACCTTGGGGTGCGATGTTAGCTAATGGCTGGGACAGGGAGGTCACAGTGACAGGGCAGATCGCGAAACAGGTGAAAAGATACGTCAATCAGAAAGCGATCAGACTTCCAGATACCGCCAAGGAGGCGCTAGATGCTGCAGATCCCGCTTCTTACGAATCATACAGTCGTCTCAAGCATGTGATCGGTGTATTGGGGTGGACTTTGCGCAACTCCCTTTGTAACAAGAAGACGAGAGTTCCCTAGCACGGGGAATGTTGTGGGATCCAAGCATCAGGTTCCGGGTCTATCAGCTCAAAATACCACTCCCATTTTATCACAGTCTAATGAACCTATGGTGAATAAGTTCATCATTTGTGAAGCTATACCCCAGAGCACTTTATCATTCAATGTAAGTAACAGATTGTGCTCTACCTTGGCGTATTCAAGTCCTTGATTTCTTGAATATCAAACTCCAGATATTGTGGTCTTTTGCCCGAGGAAAAGAGCGCCGTAGTTGATCATGCTCTGGATAAGCGGCTCAGATGGAATAATAGGTAGGAGCTTACCTACTCGCCAACTCGATTGGTAGAGTTGTTTCTGTGTCTCAGGATCATCCCAGGCTGAACCTCAACCTCGACATCCTGGACGGAATGCGTTACGCTGTGGTTTAAATCTACGTTCGCATTGAGGACGGCTGCCTTCAGACGTCGTGGTGGTATAAGTGCACAACCCCGTTGATCAGATGCAGAGTATTGGCGACGTGATCTGCAAAGACACAAGTGCTCAGCATCCCCAATACACAAATCAGAACATTGAATGAATCCTTGAGAAACCAGACATAACTAGCTTGCGACATGTTCGAATAAAACGTAGGTTCTTTTGCTTTTTTTCCTCTGTAAGCTTAGTTCTTATGAGATCTAATGCTGTATCGTTGCGACACATATCCTCACGCATTGAGCTAAAGATCTGCAAGGTCTTACCGTTTATTGATAGTAAAGTGGCTCAATATATTTGATTAAACTCCCTCCTTCCAATCCTTCCATAGACCATCCTTTTCCATCTGCTCTCGAAAGCTCTGTATTAAATGCTCACGTGCCCTCTCACCTCCAGGAGGTGTGGCGAAGCTGATTCTTTTGGGGCTGACAGTAATTTCGATCCCCTTTTCCTTCCATTGTATAACAAGGCTCTCGATCTTTTCCTGGTTTCCAGTAGTATTGCCTATCCGTGTGAAAACACTGGCCTCGGGCTGCTCAGGCATTGTACAGGATAGTATGAGTTATATTGTCGTTTGGTATTTGTCTTTGGTAGATTGGGAAGGTTCAGTGCTGTTGCAATCAATTTGTGTGTTGCAAGACTCAAGTTGACGCTCTTGGGTAGTAGAGAGCAAGCTTTATATACCCGGGTCCAGAGAACCCGCTCTGTGAATATTAACTTGGCCGGTAGTGATTATGGGTGAGCTGAAATTCTATCACTGAAAACATGTAGCTCTTGTCTGATCCACAGACACGACGACATGAATGAGTGTGCACCAAGTGAATTATCCACACTTGGATTAGTGAGTAACAAAGCGGACGTCCTTTTTGATTCAGAGCTTCCAGGATATCATGACGAGCACTCGCCATTCGTCTCTGCATGTTAGTGACTCAATGATTACCCAAACACCCGATTTTCACGCGACGCAGAGCTGAATACCCGCACGCATTCTCAATGACTTTGAACAAGTTTCAAGGGCTCGCCTCTGTTTCTTCTGGGAGACCGCCACGAACCTGTGAGATTATATATCCTTCTCCTTCATCGAAGGGCCGCGTGTTTTCGAATAGCGTAGCATATGTTCAATGTTGTGCACACATTTCATATAACTGGACTGTTACTGTCCTTGTGCCTGTATGCTGTCGATATCTCAAACTCCTCATCTTGGCTTTCCTCTTCCTAAAGAGACTTGACTGTTCGACCCAAGAAGTAATTCGATTTGCAACCGGAAGCAAGATAACAGAGGATGAAACAGTGTACTTGAAAATTCACCACGTCACCTTAATCAGAGGGAGAAAGAACTTTGAAGAGACTGTGGAGGTTATCGTTCTCGAGTCCGAGGTATTGACGAAATGCACGTACGACAATTGGCTATCGACACGTCCTCCTATGATCATTTCAATTCGAGAAAACATCCTCCCCAGACTTGTCCGTAGCATCCCTCATTCTGTGTTGTCAACACAGGCAGACATCACCATCTACATAAGCCGCCAGTCTCTGTCAATTTTCTTTTACTCGCATATCTTCAGAGTCTCTTGCTTGTGCGCAGTCCAATCATATCCAGCCGCAAACACATAAAGTGTAAGCATTTCCTCGAATTCGGTGTACATGATATTGGTGACCTCCAAGTCGTACGCTCGCATGACATCGTCGAATCTTGGCTCATGGATGGAACTCTCTGGTTTCCGTGTAAAATGGAAACTAAGTTCTGTCCGCTGGGTTAAGCTCTCAGCCACAAGTCTCAACTGCAAATAACACATAAAATGGAAGGCCATGCGACTTTCGCCTGGACTTGGGTCTTGGACTGAGATGAGAATGAAGAAGCTGAAAGGATCCATCGTGGAGTGTGATGGTGGAAGTGTGTAGTTTGAGATTGGTAGAGTGTGTTGAAGATGGATTGGGTGAGTTGTTGATCTGGAGGACAGTGCACTGAACGATGGTTTATATGCGACATCAACACAGCACAATTGCGACTGATGTCTGATTCAATCACGCTTGTGCCATGAGTGCATCTCATTCACATGCGAGGACCGTTGGTGACACACAAGGCGTGTTCTTCAGTGATCGCATCGGCTTGCGGTAAGCACTAACCATTCACGTCGAATTGTCGGAGAGATTCGATGAGTTGGTAGTCGGCTTCAGTTCCGTGAGTGGCTCGCCATCGACGAGATTGGTCAGCGTCTCATCGTCAACCCAGCACATATAATCACTGGACTTGCGACAGAACTGGCTTTCCGATCATTCTTGACATCGAAACACTGTTCCACGCAGAACACATTCACGATGCCCGATATCCCAGAGTTCGAGCTTGATCGAGCTAGTGAGAGGAGACATCGATTATCTAAACAAATGGCAGAATAACATGGCTAGCGTGCTCCCCACCAACATGAACCTCATGTTTCCCATGGTTATCCAAATGTTCCAAACTTCCAAAGTTACTCACACCAATATTTCTCCCAGAAACCACAGCTCTAATCGACTCACCAGCCTCATACTCAATGCCCATAGCCCAAATACCGATATCAAGCCTCACAACATCCCCAGCCTTGATCTTCTCAACCTTTTCATGAGGATGGAACGGCCAGTGCGGATGCATACTCTTTCTCTCATCGATCTCACGATGCGACGCTCGGAGCACACCCATTGGACCGCGATACACAACGACTTCTATCTTTTCTTTGGGGGTCATTTCTTCAAAGGATTGCTTGGGGATGCCCTTCCAGGGGATGTTGAGGTTCATCATGACTTCTCCGTTGGCGTCGAGTTTCTCGAGGGTGACGTAGACATCCATGTCGTCGTAGTCGGGACAGGACATGTAAAGAACTGCCTTAGGGAGACCGACTAATCTTGTGGTTTGGTCAAAGCGGTATGTGAAGCTGACCTGATCGTCGGTTTCAGAGTTGTAGCTGACTGTTGATGTTTCGGCTGGCTGGTCAAGAGAAAGTTTACTGTCTTTCGTAAAGTACAGTTTCTTGTAGTCTGTTCTGGGAATGGGGAAGTTCTCCTCGACAATGTTCTCGTAAGATTGAGGTTCCTTCTTACCAAATCGCAGAACAGCCGTGCGGACCTTTGGTACTTTGTTCCAGCCGTTATCCTTGCCCTTGAGGAAGTAGTCGAAGAAATCAAGTAGCTCGGTCCTCGCTTGCTCATTACCCCAAATGTCATACCACTCTTGCCAAGGATGGAAGCGAAGCCACTTGTGCGGTGTATCAACTTCGAGCCAGCCTCTAATGGCGCCCATGCCGTGCATTGTGTTGGTCCATGTACCGGTGATGTAAGTGGGGATGTTGATCTTCTTCATATCTGGGCGCTTGTCATTCCACCACTCATTTGCAAGAGGATGCTGTTTGAACATCTCGCGGAAGCTCTCGATGCCGTTGTGTCCTTGCATCATGTACTTGACAATGAGCTTATCGAATAAGTCACCAGCGTAGATACCACCTCGGGCAAATTGTTCGCGATATAGATCGCCACAACCTTCCCAAGGAGCAATAGCTTTGAGACTGGGCGGGTTCAACGCTGCGATGAACCATTGGACAATAGCCAGGTGAGAATTTCCTGCTAGACCAACAGAGCCATTGCACCATGGGAGTTTTGCGATGCTCTCAATGGTATCGTACCCATCTTCGGCTTCTTGAGTTCCCATGATGACCAAGGTTCCCTCACTATCGCCTGATCCGCGTGAATCGATGTTGACAACAGCGTAACCGCGCGGAACCCAATCAGCAGGATCAGGCGCCTCAAATTTCTCAAGTCCTGAGAGTGTCTGTGAAGGAATACCTAGGTTCCACGGAACCATGAGTTCCAGTGACAGTATTCCATTGAACTTCTTTCCGAAAGGTGACCAGCAGATAATAGCAGGAACAGGCTCATCCGTGTTCGGTGGACGGTACACATCAGCGTATAGCGTAACACCATCTCGCATCTTGAACGCCACATCATGTTCGACGAGAACAGGTGAAGGTAATGCACGCGCTTGGGGGCTGTCGTGTTTCCATCCTGCTGGGAGGACTTCTGAGTGCGGGTTCAGTCCGACGTAACCGCCGTGACCGACCTTAGGAGTGCCGATGGGCTCAATTGGGACTGTGAAGGGGAGGTTTGTGAGAGGCATGATGTTTGAAATGACAAGGAATTGATTGCAAATTCTGTAAGTTCAATTTTACAAGCATTTGTGAACCTATTCATAGTCGATCCTTGAGATGCCAAAGTGGATTCCGAGGTAGCGAACCGGGCAGTGGACTTGTCGGCCCCACTGTACATGGCGCGGCTCGGAATCGGAGTCTGGGCTTGAGCGCGGGGGCAGAACGAGGATTGCCGGGATGCCGAGCCGAAGCGACGCTTGCACTTCGGAATCAATCATTGCGGCTCTGGTGGCAAGCAAATGTATCTGTTGACAGAAGAATAAGAAGAACACATTGAACTTTGTCAGAATCATTAAACAGCTAACAGCAAGACGATTTCTGAGATTGATAACTATCATCGCATCACCTCTCATCGAGTCAAATCAACACTTGACTGCTATTCTTTCGCTCATCTATCCACCAAAATGGTCGCCAATACTGAGCCCGCTGGTTACCAAGCCACCTCCGCTTTGAAGCTCACCGAACCCACTTCCAACAAGCCCATCCAAGCCAAGCCTTCAGGCCCAAACAAGCTCTTCGCCAACCCTGGAACTGTCTTTGGCGACTGGCGCGATGACCTCTACCGAGATGGTTTCGCCGTCATCAAGGGAGCCATTCCTCTCGAAAGAGCTGAGAAATACGGTGACGAGATGCTCTCATACCTCGAGACATTGTGAGTCTCCAATACCCACATCCAAAAGCGTCTACTAACAGAGACATAGCAACGGCGGCATGGGCTTCAAGCGTGATGACCCTAGCACCATCAAAACAGAGACGCTCCCCGTCATCACCGAAAAAGGCATGATCACAGGCTACGGCGTCGCCCACGAGTCCTTCGCCTGGGCCATCCGCCAAGAACCCGGCGTCATCGAGGCCTTCGAGCGCGTCTACGACACCAAAGACCTCATCGTCTCCTTCGACGCCGTCAACACCTCGTTCCCCAACCGCAAAGATGTCAAGGTTAACAAGCCCTGGCCGCACCAGGACCAAGACCCAGAGAATCCCGGCTTCCGCTGTCTCCAGGGTCTTGTCAACATCTTCCCCAACGGTGATAAAGACGGTGGTCTGATCGTTTGCAAGGGCGCGCATCTTCTTAGTGAAGAGTTCCACAAGGACTTTAAGGATGATCCGAATAAGATCTGGGCTTGGACTCATGAGTGGTATGGCTTTACAGCAGAGGGTATGGAGTGGTTGAAGAACAAGGGCTGTGAATGGCAAAAGGTCAATGCAGGACCTGGAGATCTTATCGTCTGGGATTCGCGCACTCCTCATTACAATCTTAGTCCTGAGGGTACGCAGCCCAGGTTCTGCACTTATACGTGCTACATGCCTGCTGCGGATGCTACGCAGGAGGATCTGAAGAGGAAGAAGGCTGCTTTTGAGAATCTGCAGGGGACCACGCACTGGCCTAATGCGATGCATGTTGGAGGAATTCCTGTCTTGAGGAACGGGGAGCCTTGTCCTTATAATACGAACAAGCCGAGGAAAGCGCCCGAGTTGACTAACCGCGGGTTTCTGTTGACTGGCATTCCATACATTACTGCATAAGCCATTTTAGTTATTTTGCATCAATCTATTTACCCCTTCAATTTTCTTTTCCACTTATTATAAAGCATTTAGAAAAAGCTATTTCGCTCCACCTCCGCAATATGGCAAATCTACTTGTTAGATGGTTCCTTTAAGTGTTCATTCAATAGCTTCTTGCGTTGTTGGACCACCAGCGCCTGGCGACAACCAGCTCGAATCGATAACATATTTTGAATGGGCGATACCGTTAGGCAGGATAGAGCTCCTAGATCAGTACCAGGCAACTTGCACGGCGATAAATAGAAAGGAATAGATATGCATGGCACTAAGTCCGAGTAAGACAATCACCATAATCTTAAGCCTCGGGCGGACCAGCGATCTGTATGGCGTACAAATTGGCAGAAGCTGCATACGTTAGATACGCCTCTATACTAAGGTCCGACATACTACACAGAACTAGCTGAGAGTAATATCCATGCTAGATAGTGCAATCCTACTATAAACCTTGCTGATTACTCCTTACGGTAAACTCATAAACAACTGCAGCATCTCCCAATATCTTGGTGTCCCAAGCCCCGTCACCGGGTCCCATCCTGGCACTGCCGAGAACCCTTTTGTATCGCATCCTTCATTAGTCCCTTTCGTAATATCGTTGAATACCTGGGGGTTATGATACATGACTGGATTGATGAACCCGACAGGGCTTTTTCCAGCTTTGAGTCTCTGCTCGTTGATGAGTGTCACAATGGAAGCAAACAAAGGCGTCGCTGCGCTGGTACCGCTTATGAGCCCGTAGTCGCCACCAACGTAGGTTGCTATGTCTTGACTGATAGCCGAAACACTATAAAGGAAATCGGGTCAATATGCGAATCATTGTAAGTCGGGAGCGATGGACTTACTCTGGCATGCCTCTCCCTATGCGATTGTAGATGCCGCCATTTGCACCAATGGGGACTGTATCATTGTGTGTCACATTATGCAAAGCACTAAAGTATTTGTATCCTGGATCATGATGCTTGTAATAAGCATCGAGTGCTGCTTTCTGATAGCTTGGGATCGAATAGATGCTACTGAAACCTCCACCACTAGTGTATGTGCTGTCTGACCCGTCTTGATGCGGGAGATAAGCAGCAACTTCTGCATCGAGGGCCGAAGAGCCAGCAGGTAATCTAGTCCCACCAACAACTGTCACGTATGGACAGTTTCCGGGAAAGTTAGGATTGAAGACCGTGTTGTTCGGGCCGAGACATCCGTTCGGCTCTGGATCCCAGGAGCGCGACGCCACACCGGCATCACCAGAAGCAACTAGAACAGTATGCCCCTGGAGTGCAGGTTTCATGAACTCGTTGCACTGCAGTTGCTGGTAGTAGAAAGGTAAGTCCGACTCCGACCTACTGTAAGAGATGGAAATCACGTTCGTTGGTTTCGAGATGCCGCATTGCGTCTTGCCCGTGTAACCACCAGGTTGTGTATCAGGATATACATCATCGAAAGCAGGATCATTACCCTTCTCTCCAAAGGCCTCGTATAAGCAGTATGATCCATCAATGGCGTTGAGGAAGTTGTTAAACAGCCCTCCAGCGCCGTTCACAGTATACACCTTGTCGTCAGTTTGGTATAACGTGATGGACTGAGGATATATAAGCGGGTAAGCGACTTGTAGATCGAGATCAGATTCTCCATCGGCTTCAGCTGGTTTGACCGGGGCAGAGCCGCCATCGATTGAAACGAGGTGAGGGTGAGTCCCCTTTGGGATATGAGGCGTAAATTTGCCGAAGAACATATCTAAATCCTCCTGGGCATAGTAGTCACCTGCCTCGAAGATCCCCAGACAATTAGACGAATGGTTCAATGTGTTGCTTGGGATATTATAGAGTTTTCGTATGCAATCGGGAGTGACAGCATCACCACACTTTGACGTGCCTGTCGAAGGCGGGCTCGGGGATTCAGGTTGAAAAATTGGTGGTGCCTGTCTCTTGACTTTGCTGCTGATGCGAGGCTGCTTAGGCGCTAGAAGCATTACGCCAGGGGTGATAAATTCGATATGTGGCCGAACAATTTCAGGAAGATAGTATTTCTCGCATGCTAATGTGGAGTAGTCATGGAGGGTATGGTGGTACTTGTGATAACTGGAGTTGAGCATGCTCTCCGCTTCTACAGCCGACATATTGGCGCGTAGCCATCCTCTGTCTCGCAATGGTGTTGAAGAACCGCCATGTCTTGAAATCCACGAGCGGACCGTCTCGGTCGTATCATTGGACGGCGCGAACAGCTTGACGATATCTTGTTTGGAGTAATGTTTACCATATGAAGGAGAAGACGGGTGCGAGACGTTGTAGACGAAACTGTCCGTGTCTTCAAGGTTTGACTGCTTTAAACCGATTCGAAGGAAAAGACGAGCGTCCGGGTCGATCCGCTCGCCTTTAATCCAGATGTCGCCATGGGTATTTCGTTTTTCATGAGGAGTGCGCACCTCTTCGCCCATGCCCAGGCACAAGGATATGAGAAGAAAGCCCACGATATAATGCATATCTGAGTTCAGAATGCTTAAGAATGATGGACCGAACTAATTGATAATATGTAATGTGAATACCAGACTCTCCTTTATACATCACATGTAGTATAATATATAGAGAACCTGAGGTTCTACAGACTGATTATCCAATACTACCTATAACATCAGTAGTTTATGTTGTCGCGTGGAGGGTGCTCCAACGGGCCCAGCAACTGATGTCTATTCTTGCCCTTATAACATCTCCTGGCATTCTTTTCACTTTATATATATATTTGTCTTAAAGCTTGAACATCCTGCTGAAGCTCTTCAGGAAATAGTAAATCAACCTTTCATATAAGTACCCTCTATCCTAATATCTTATTTAGCCAGGCAAACTGATACCTGTTCCACTCTTGCCCAGCTCCGACTTGGACGTGATATCCAGCTGTTCCATTGAAGAACTTGTAAGTTGCCCTATCGCCCAGTGCGTCCCTGACAATCTCCGGCTGGCCAGCGAAGAACCCCTCGAACTCGGAATCGACGACAAGGACGGGTACGTTGATCTTCCCAACCACATCCTTAATAGTGTACTGCTTAAGCGATTGGAGCCATAGATACGGGGAATGCTGTTTGAAGCACCACAATCCGTGCTCTAAACCCCAGCGCATCATTGTAGGCGCCTGTGGGCTATTCAAAAGCGGCAAGGCAGCCTCGTTAAATTCCTCTTGCTTGCCCGCGGCGAACAGTTCCTTCATGTCCGGAGTCAACTGACTGGCGAATCCCTTATAGACATCCCACACGCCGCCATTGAGAATAAGAGCCTTGATCCGAGGCTCAAACGCAGCGGCACGAGCAGCTAGATACCCACCCATTGAAATGCCAACGAGGACCAGCCTGTCTTCATCGACGAAGCAGCCTTTGCGATTTATCAACTCGTCTATCACTGGCCTAAGAACCCTCTCCCAATCAGGGATGAAACCGATATTATCGTTGCGACGAACAGTGGGCTGTCCTGGCCCTTCGTAGGTCATAACATTCCAGCCACGAGCCAAGGCTGGCACAACGAACGAGTGGTAGGAATCTTCTTGGCTAGCATCATATCCATTGCCGATAACCAAGGTCGGTCGTTTGACCGCATCGGCTGCGGGCGTGTACCATATTGCTTCAATAGTGAAGCTGTCCGTCGGGATCTGGATACGTACGCCAGGAACGGGCAGTGTCGCAAGCGCCTTGTCAAACGCAGCGCGTTGCTCGAGCCAGAAGCTATTGATACGTGGGTCCGTCCACTTCGCATGGTTGTAGAAGTCGGCCTGACGGTAGTAGCTTGATGCAGCAAACCAGGCTTCCCGGACGTTCAATGGATCGTACGCATTGTCCGCATCCTCGGCTTGACCTTTGGTGTATTCTGCCAACGCGTGGAAGGTCTCGAGCCAGCTGGTGAAGTTCCCGGGCTTGATGTGTTTCGCTGCGGCCAAGACATCGTTGACATCGCCAGCTCCGAATATGGTGTTTCCGAGGGTGAAGAGCAGCTCGAAATGGAAGCTTTCATCTTTGCTCAAGAGGATGATGGGGTCCTCTGGCTCCTCTAAAGAGAGTGATGGCCCAGAGTCGCGGGGAAGAATGGAACTTGAGGCTACCGTTGCCCCCATAAGAATAGCAGTGAACAGGGAAGATGACTTCATTTCGAAAGGGACTTAGAAGTAAGGGTACAGTACTGAAAGATGGGCAGATTCGCTGATGACGGTGTTGATCATATTATAATAGTCTCGGCGATGCCTTGCTTTTTATATTCATTTGCTTGTTCTCGCAATCGTCCCAGCGAGAGCAACCCTCAACCAACCTATACCTACACTATGCACCGTCCATGCATCTGAGCCAGGTTGCGATTGGTGTTTCCCCTGGGGACCGTAAGGCTTACTGTGTCGACTAGGACAAATAAGGCAATTCCTTTGCGATTGGTCGCTTTGTAATCCTCTGCCCCACGGCTTGCGCCTCTCCCATCGCAAACACTACACGCAAGTCCGGAGACTTGGACTCAAACTTGACAATCTATGATTCATTCGCGACACTGTCTAATTTCCGCTTAACGTTATTTCTTACCCAGTCCCTGGATGCGACGAATCGCAAATGAAGCCGGCCGCGTGGCAAGTCTTGACTAAGCGGCATAGATCGGTCCTCTTGATTGCGTGTAGACATGGTCAACAATGGCCCATCGAAAGGCTGCTTGACATGTCGCAAACGACGTGTTAAATGTGACGGGGACAGGCCAAGCTGTCGTGAATGCCTCCGGCTGCGACGGGTGTGTGGAGGTTACGAATCAAGGAAAAAGACAGGCGAGATTCGGTTCAAGGACCAGGGCACTGGGGCAAAGACATCACGGTTCAGAAGCCCTCGCATGTCCATAACGCCAGGATTTCAAATTCAGGCTGCCATACCAGCAAACATTTCCCCCGACGACGAATCCTTCGCTATCTCCTTCTTCCTCACCTCGATCGCGGGCCTAGGACGCAGCTTTCACTCGACCCAGGGTTTCCTAGAGCCTCTTTTCCCCGCCGTAGCCAAGGAGCATTCGGATTCTGTCCTCTCCACCGTCCTGACGGCCGTGTCAACGAAGCTCTGGAGCTTATGGAAAACCCCAACAAAGAGCTTTCGAACGCCTCATCCTCCCTTTACCAAGGCACTGAGTCGCCTACAAGGAGCTCTCAACGATCCTCTCGAGCGGTTGAAAGACACCACCGTACTCAGCGCTATCTTGATGCATTTCTACGAGAGCATCGCTGCTCGCTCAACGCATCAGCATACCATGCGCGTCCACCAGGACGGGGCGCGTGCATTGCTCGAACATGGCGCCGGGAGCGTCCCGGACTCAGATTGCCGTGCATACTTGAGGAGCTACCTGCGGCACTGTGATGTGTCGACATATATGGAGCTGCAACTAGACGACACCTCGGGCCTGGATGTTTGGTTCGATGCAGGATGGGACTATTCTATGCCAGCGAACCCGAATGCAGTCTTGGACCTGATCGGGCTCTCGATTGCCGATTTACAGAAAAGACTATCCACCTTTATGTGCGGGCTGGCCAAGAATAACCTGGATGGTCTGACCCTTGCGACTTGGTGGCAGGACGCTTCGTCCGTCAACACACAACTCTTGGATTGGGTTAACTTAGTGCCGGCCTCATGGCAGCCATATAAAAGACCCCAAGACGACGCCTTTGCTTACTTCGGCTTCTGCGATATATACCCAACCGTCCAGATTGCCACCATCTGGAACGTATGGCGCGTTTGCCGGCTCATGATCCTACGGATGCAGTTCTATCTGCTTACCAAGTCGCCCTCGGAGGCGCTGCAGCAAACCATCTTGATTGCTACCAAGGATCACAGTTTCCCAGATCCCAATCTCGGCAGGGAGTTGGTGGACTCTATCTGCCGGTCCGTGCCGTTTTACCTGGGCAACCGCCAAAATCACGGAGGTTTGCACGACTTGGCGGACCCGGCGATCAGATTCCCCAACTACCACGACAAAGACTTGGATGAGGCCATACGTACCCAGTATCTCCGAGGGGATCAGGCAATGAGTCTCTCTGATTATAAGCGACACATATTGATTCAAGGCCCTTCGCACGCATTGCTTCACTTGAATAGCTTAATCAGAGTGCTATCAAAGGAGTGTGGCGAGCTTATCTGTCGTGGGCTGCATAGGGATAAAGTCGTCTGGATACAGGAACAGTTCCTCCGGGTCTGTAAACTTACTGACCCAGTTAATCGGTTTAAATAGTTGTAAATTATACAACCCTTACAAGAGGTTACACTCAAGTATGGTGTGATCCAAATGTCATGATGAAGATTATTTCGGCATGTTTTCCGCATCAAACAGGTTTGTTTGTGGAAATGCAAAAAAGATCAAAAATGGTGAAAGTTTAGACAGAAAAGACCAAAGATTGTCAGATTGATGCGCTATATATCAATAATCATTCCTTCATCAGGAGGGTACAAAGACCCTTCTGTCTCAAGTCTCTGCAACAAGTTCTCAAAATCGGCCCAGTCACAGCCAATCTCATCAGGTAGTATCGGCATGTTGAACGGCTGACCCGAGAACGGATCGAGTATGCCTTCTTCCATCGAGAAATGAGTATTGCTTGCGAGTGCAGGATCCGACTGGCCAACGGCCTCTGTGAATGTCTGTTGATCGGTTAAAGGTGTCACATTCTGATCGGACAGGCTGGTTGACGAGTTTAGCGCGGGAGTGTTGCGGTCGTTATCGTGTGGTGGGGTAGGCTTCATAGCTTCTTGGACGACACAAAGAAGGCCATTAAGAATAGTGTTCAAGCGATCCTCTTCACTGAGGCCAACAGAGTAGCAGCGCACTAAGTCAGCAGCAGTTACAAGAAGCTAGTGAAGTCAGTGTCATGGGTTTCATATGGTAACATCGAACTCACGCTTTGGTCGATTTTTGAGACACGAGAATGCGGCTGTTTCAAAATATGAACAGCCAGGACATACATAGCATGAAGCAGCGGAAAGTAAGCCGGTGCGAAGAGATGCGACGCCGAATCATCGTTATCAGCGAGAAGATGGATGATCTTTCGTGCGGAATTCGCAACCATTGATTGACCGTTGCGGATCTGGTACTCCCACGGTGTATCTTTGGCGATGATCTCTACTGCCATGTGTAGAGCGTTTTTGCTGATCAGGAGGGAGTTGCGGTTCAGCATGATGAGACTGCAAAACATTATCTTAGCAAGTCATTTGCTGGTTTTGGTGAACTTACGCGTTGTGATAGTGTAAAGACACGAATGACGCGAGGCCCAGATTTTCTGGTACGCGCATAAAATCCGACGTAGGTCTGTCGCATATTAGCAACTATAGCGACTGAAATGAAATGACATGCCTTATACCAGCAGGAACACTATTAGCCCAGTTCGTCAACATCAGAAATGCCTCTCCAGTACTAGTAACCTTCTCTCTGACTACCGCTTCAAGAGCCCTTCTACTAGCCCTCTCCTCAAGTTGTCTTGCCGTAGCACAGCGACGACTCATCTTACTAAACACACTCGCCATCGATAACGCAATACGCGATGGCTCAAGCGCAGTAGACTTGACAACATCTAGTTCCAAGGTGTCAAATGCATCATCCGAGATAGTCGACACATATCCAAGCTGGAACGAGAATAGTTTCTCATAGCTGTATAAAGCCCACCACGCTGGATTCCAGGCGTCGAGATCCAGAGGTTTTTTCCTATTCTTCCCAGGTTTGTTGAGGCCGAGGGAGTGGGCGATTGAAAGGCAGATGCCAAGTGTTGTCCAAGCTGATATGATCTCGTCGTTGAGTCGGAGACATACTGAGAATAGAAAGAGGACTTCGATGGTGTCGTATGATACGTTGCCGATGAGATGACCCAGTGCGTTGCGGGCTAATGATAGTGTTTCAGTCATGTAAGGCTTTCGCCCGGCATGTTGGAGGATACAACCTCCTGCAGCAAAGAGTAGATGACTTCTCAGCGCTGCAATGTCAACAGCATGCGACGCCAAGTTCCCTGGGTGAGATTGCACTACATCCGCACGAGCCTGGTCGAGCCTCACAACAGGGTAAAACGTATGTATCTCCCTCGCATACGCGTCGAACAAAGTCTGGGGTACCCACGTCTCCGGCGTGATCGGAATTCCGTGTTGAGATGCCGATGGAGGGTTCAGAGTAGAGGGTGGATAAGAGCCAAAATGGTAGGGAATGCTCAGCCGGAAACAAGCCAGGTCCAGCCACTCCGTCAATATCTGGAAAGACGTGGTGCCAGCGCTTTGACGCCAGATCGGCAGCGGGTTGCTAATCGCGTCTGTATGAGAAGAGTCTCTACTCTGCGACGGTCTCGGACTCTGCGACCGCGCGCGAATCGGCCCAGTAACGACCTCAATAGTCCGCGGCTCAACAACAGAATGCCTCCTCTCCACAGCCGCAGTCTGCAGTCCATACTCCGACGGACTCGCAGAAGTAACAGATCCTCCATCCGTTGACTTGCCCGCCTCTCGTCTCTTGATCACCTTGCCCGGTCTGCGCCTATCTTCCGTAACGCAGGTAACTCCGGCGAGGATACAAGCCTGGCAAGAGGGCTGCTGCTCGTCGCAGCGCGTTTTGCGACTCCGACAGTAGTTGCATGCGAAATTGAGACGGCGCCGTTTGCTGGATCTGGGGATTCCGGGGCTGTCTTCGGTATCCATTGGGGAGGGCATGGGGGTCGGGAAACGTGGGGGACAAGCTTGGGAAGATGATTGGGTTGATGTCGATGCCGGTAGATAGAGACGGGTTCCGGTGACAAGGGTTTGAGGAGGAATCAAGATCTGGAGTTGTTGTGTTTGGGTGATGAGATACCGAGCCGACGGAGGCGCAGACAGCGTATTTTAATAAACGATCGGTAAACCTCTGCCCTTCCCCGCATTCATTCCCCTCGGAGACTCGGCTCCACCCCCGCAACTTAACCTCACTTTTAGACCCCTTCGTGTAACGACCAATCGGAATCTATTCGTTACGCTATCAGACTAACTTAGTACCCAGGTCCAGACCAACTCCGACCCGGCGGCGATTCAATTGATATAAACCTCGTTTCGTCGCTGCTTTGTACATGGAAACATCAAAACTCATCCAGTTGACAAGGTGTAGTCATGGCTGAGCGACGCGATTCCTTAGGTATGAAACCTGACGTCGATGCTGTCGAGGATATCATCAAGACGCCTTACCACGAAACTCATGATGCATCTGGTACAGTCAATCTCTACCAAGATGGAACTGTTGTTCTCGTCCCGACGCCTAGTCCTGACCCCAAAGGTAAACAAAACACACCATTCTTTTCAATCATCATCAACTCACACTTTTTAATAGATCCTCTTAACTTGCCCGTCTGGCGCAAGTACATGATCATCCTCCTCGTCGGCTTCTACTCCGGCATCTCAGTCCTAGGAACCTCCGGTCTCGGCTCCGTCGCCCCAGAGCTCTATGCGCTTTATCACAACGACAATGCCAAGCGTGTCAGCGATTTGCTTACATATCCTACTCTCTTCATGGGGATTGGCAATTTGCTGTCTATGCCTCTCGCCAACGCCATCGGCCGCCGACCTGTCTTTCTCTTCTCTCTGCTTCTTCTGACGGTTTCTGGAATCTGGTGTGCTTGCTCAAAGTCGCTTACGAGCCATATTGCGGGGCGGAATATCTTCAGTCTGGCTGCTGGACAGAGCGAGGCTCTCGCGCCTTTGATCGTGCAGGAGATTCACTTTCTGCATCAACATGGTGTGAAACTGTCTTATTTTGTTGGTGTTCAGAACACGCTTACTGCGGCTCTGTTTACGGCGACTACGTACATCGTTCCATCGCTTGGATTGCCTTGGTGGTATGGTATCATGACCATCATCAATGGTTTCACTATGATCATGTCTTTCTTCTTCCTCGCTGAGACTCGCTACGACCGACCCGAAGACGCGACAGGTAAGCTTTCATCCCTCTTTTCATTAGTCGATACTAACCATGAGCAGAGGGTGCTGTCCATCTAAGGCTCGACAAGAATGGCAATGTAGCCAGCGAAGGTACCAACGAGGTTCTATACCAAGTCACAACCCGCAACGGCGTTGTTCTCCAGCCCGACAAGTTCGGCGAGAGAACATGGCGCGACGACATAAAGTTGTTCCACGGCAAGGCAGACTGGAAGAGTCTTGTCGCCTTCTACAAAGACGTCGGGCTGTCTCTCATCCTGCCGCCTATCTTCTGGATCTTTATCCTCAATGGTGCTTTCCTAGGTCTTTACATCTACCAAGCCTCAACCTTTGCTCAAATTCTGGTGCAACCGCCTTACAAGTTCAACGGAAAGCTTCTGGGATATGTGCAGCTTGTTCAGATCATTGATTGTCTGCTTGCTGTCCCGCTGCTTGGATATGGTTCGGATATTATCTGCAAGTTCATGAGTCGACGGAACAAGGGCGTCTTCGAGGTAAACACCCCATTTCCGAGTCTGAACATCGCATACTGACTGATACAGCCCGAATATCGTCTTCTTGTCTTGATCATCCCAGCGGCTTGTGCCATCATCTCAGCGATCGTCTACGGCCACGCAGCCGCCTCGCCCAACGATTATCACTGGATCGCCATCGTGGCTCCATATCATCTCGGCTTCTTCTCTTTCCTCGGTGCGAACTTGGTCGGAATCACTTTCGTCATGGATAGTTACCCCAACAAGTCTGGGCCTCTTCTTCTCGTTGTTTGCGCTGGTCGAGGCTTTGTCTCATTCGGGTTGAGCTACGCAACCGTGCCTTCGATTCAATCCCTTGGCTATGATGGTGCTATGAACATTCTTGCTATTATCTGTGGTGTTTTGAGCGCCCTGGGTATTGTCATGTACTTCATTGGAAAGCGTGTTCGTGAATGGGCGCGTCGACGTATCTGGCCTAAGCATCACGAGGAGTAGGGTTAGGCAAGAAACTGGGTCGTGTAGACTATTACGTCTTGTGTTGATCTATGTGATTTGAAGCACGATAGTAAATGAATTAATGGAACGCACGATTCGAAAATGGTCGTATCTGCCTTTTAGCATAACATCTTCCCTCTACTGTTTGTTAGCGTGAATTCCCAATACTGCCTAATTAGGAAATATCAAGAGTAGGATGGTTGGATGACAAACAACTAAAGTTCAAGCTTACTGTTTTTAGTGCGCAATGTACGGAGTAGGTGCTGAGCCTTTTAAATGCCAGTAACCTTGCCCGCATAAAATTGTTGAGCGGGCGGTCTCCAATCAGTTGCATTGATTCCCCCGCCCCCCGGCACGGTCAACGTCCTGTCACCACTTTCTACAAATACCATCGTTATATGATATTGGGCTTGACTATTAACTTTACTGGAGTTTCAGCAAGGAGACCACTGACTGATTTGCCAATGGCATGGTGTCCGTGCGTAGCATGCTCATGCACTATAGCCCCGGTGAGGACGATATGCTCTCCTCAGGAGCAAGAAACGTCTGATGTTAAGCAAAAGGTGTCGGTAGCTGATCTAAGCTCCACTAAATCTATCCTAAAGTACACTAAAGTATACTAAATTTACCTAACCCTTTTTGTTCTTTAGGATAGGAGTCCTTAACTCACAACGAGTTTAATTGCACTTTATGCAAACCAGCTCGGGTAACCAATGCATTGAATTACAGGGATCCAATTCTGCTTCTGGCTCTAGAAAGTCAGGCAGTGTGTAATGCATCTATATACAGTGACCTGTTTGCATAAATGATAGCCTGTCGATGTTACATAGACTAGAACATCTAGTTGTCGGCTAATGGAGAGATGCAAGGTCTAGAAATATTTCTCCCGGTTCTTAAAGAACCGCAAACCCACTAACTTGATCCCCTTGCTTTTATCTCATGCGGTTTTGCTTCGCACCCATCAGCCATTCGTTAACCGACACAATCAATCTAATACAGCAAAGAATCATATCCGCTCAATGTTCTCCGCCATGGGCAAACCAAAGTCCAAGATAGAGGCCTCGTCCGAGACCGACACCGCCCCCACAGAACCCACTCCCCGTCCCGTGAGCACCTGCGGCAGCGAGCATCTCCTCATAACAACCCGTCGCCAAGCATCAGAACAATACGCCAAAGCAGCCAAAGCCGAAAAGGCCTACCGCACCAAGAAGCGCGCTGCTCTCGCCCGCGCCAACTACAACGAGACCAAGACACACTTCAAAGAAGCCTTCTCGCACCTCTGGCTCGCGTTGAAGGGTGTGTTCCCGGCGATCAAGAACTCAAGGTATCTTGTTGGTGAGAGGCGCGATAAGAGGAGGCAAGAGGCTGAGAAGAAGAAGAGAGAGAAGAATTTGGAAAAGAAGAAGAAGCTTGAGGAGCAGTTGGCGAGGGAGGAGGCGGAAGTGGAGGCTGATGGGAAGAAGGAAGAGGATAAGGATGAAAAGTAGGAAGTTCAATGAATCATGAGCTTATGCTTGTGATGGTACCTCGGCGGTGTTTTGTCTTTTGACTGTTGAGGGTGGCGTTTGTCTCTGGCTTGAGGCAACGATACCCAACTTTCACTCATCTATTTCATTTGTCTTGACGCAATATAGAGTATTGCTGTGCTTTATCTGCAATCGACCAATGGTTAATCAAAACAATATAATTTCTTCTTATTACTACTGAAATCTCTCCGTTTGAGTCGTAACCCAATCCCTACATCATCCAGACCTGCTCTTCTTTGGCTTGGGAAACGCACCAGTAGCTTTAGGCATATGACTCAGAAACTCAGGTATTGAGGTCTAGATCCTCCCTACTTGACAGTTTCACTCTCCGCTGACGCAAAGCCCGTATCCATGATGGGCAAACCTCCCGTTCGTCTCCTCCGGTACAGAGCTTCTTGCCTTCCGTTGTTCGGCACTCAGTATCCATAGCGTTCATTTATAAAGGACTGCACTTTCTCTTACCCCAATACCGTTTCCTCTAAATTTGAGAATCAAACCATAAGAGACGTTATATTGCCAGTTCCCGGTCGTCATTAATACTAAAGAACCCGATATCCGACAATCATTAAATTTTATAAGCGCCATAGCCTTAAAGGGTCAGTCAGCACATTAATCTCTGCCAATAAGATTTAGTCAATTACCTGAATTAAGCGAGCTTTTGCAAAGCCAGTTGTGCTTTCTTAGCAATAAGCCCAGAGTTGTATCGTTGCTTTCTTGGCAGTAAGCCTAGGGTTGTATTGTCGGAGGTTCTCTCTCATAGCAATAAGATGACTAGCCGAGAACTAGATAAAAACAAGGTGACTAATAAATAATATTTCAGCTGGACCCAATCAGACTTACATATCCGACGAGGAGGCAATTAGGCGAAGGGGACTATCGAATATTATGACTATTTTAGGCACACTTGATCACAAATGCAGCCAAAAGAACCCTGAAGACAAAAGTTCCTAAAGTAACACGATAGACCTAAAATGCCGTAAAACCCACTCTTGGCATTGAGATAAAAGTTATTCCCTAGGGTTGTACAGAAAGTCTTGGCTTTGATAATGTAGTGTAGCGGTGAGCCAAGTTCTTTAAAGGTTAAGATTTACATATATATATAACTGTACCGCTTGATGTCTAACAAACCGCATTCTAGTTCTACAAGACTCAGCACCATTACTTTCACCAACTCCTCCCTTGCTATGCGTATCTCGGTTGTCTCTCTTCTGGCCTTGGCTGCAAGTGCTGTGGCTGTTCCAGTTTCCGACAACATCGGCTCTCTGGAGAAACGCTGCGAGTGGAACGATGGTCACGGTCCATCAGCTGGTATGAACTCCCATTGAGTAACGGTACCGAATATTAACTCTTTAAAGTGACTATTTCAGTATTGTTTTCGGCGCAGAAGGGCGCGAGCGCTCGGAATTCATAATCAAGGGTAACAACTTCGAGCAGCGAGGTTTTCCAAGATGCGATCCCTGTACGTATCACCCATATGCCCATAGTGCCTGTCTGACTGAATGTTCTCCAGGGCAAGGCGGCAACTATCAGCCATTCTCGAGCCCGCTGCCTTACATTGTCATGGTGGCTCCTGGCAATACCTGCGAAACCAGATTGCCTGAGGCTTGGTGGGATGATCTGCATATTAAGTATGCCAGCACCTTTTTGAATGCACCTACAGACACCCGCTGTGGACCGGTCGAGAATGGTTGGGGCCGCCGTTGCATCATTGCCCAGCGCCCTTAACCTGGAGTGCATCGGACCGCCAGTGATTTTCAGTTAAACTGTTTCTACTGGGCAGGGCCATGGGTTACCTTTTCCGCAGGCCCTTAGTTTCACGTAACGACCGGATTGGCTAAGTCTGACTTCTCTGGCGGCATTAGTAGTGCTTTATATTACTAATAACTTGTGGTGTTGTATATACCTAGCAATACTACGTATGACAGTGAGCCCGTCCCCATTGCATATGACACTAGCTCCAGGCATAAGACACAGAATGTCAATGGTTGAGGTCCAAGTCCGCTCCCTCCTTAACAGTGTTCCAATACTTCTCCGCACTCCGCTGCCGCAAAGCCCGACCCCATTTCATAACGGGGAAAATTGTCAGATTATGTGCCAGACCAGCGAAAGCACCAAGGATGAAAGCATTCTGATAGCCCAGGTTGACAACCCAAGGAGTGACACTAACATTATCAGCAAAATTCTATGATCATTGAGTCGGGTATGTGTACTTACCCATATCCAATACCGAATGCCATTGTATTTCGGATGATGATGGCAGTGGCTAAAGCTTCGCTCGCGAGATCACGATAGCAATCGATGCAATACGCGATGGAGATTTGTGAACCGGCAGTCGTAGTGAAGGATATGACGCCCATGGCAAAGACGACTGAGAACCAATGCGCCTCGTAGTAAGCTCCGACGCCGAATAAGATGCATCCAAACGGAATGAGGATGAGAGAGGGGAGGAATAGCCATAGTCGGTGCTCAGCTTCCATAAAGCCCCCATTGCGACGTGCCATCTTGATGATGAATTTATCGCCACAGAGTCCAGTGTAGATGCACCTAGCCTCTGTCAGCTTCTGTAATCTGGTCACTTTGTGAGAATCGGGCACTTACGCGAGGGTTGTTCCAATGAGTGGAGCGATGAATGTCAACCCAACTGTCGAGGTAGGCATGTTATAAGGCTTATTCGACAGGACCATAGACTCAGTCGCGTTCAGAACCGAAAGCCAGACAATGTTGCAGCCGTAGATGAAACCAGCATATGAGATGATGGGAAACGCGAGGAGGAGAATCGGCCGACTGATGAGCTTGATGAGTCTATTCTCGCCCTTCAGGTTCTTACGTTCAATGGGCTTAAGGCGAGACATGCGTGATCTCTTGCTCATCGTAGTGTTGTCAAGATCAAAGATCTCATTGGGTGCGCTGACGTTCGTAAGAGTGGTAGTAGCGACTTGGTCTTGCTCAACGTCATGCTTCGTATCAAGATCGTCTTTGGTATCAGGGTCGGTTGATGTATGATTGGAAGTATACACGGTCTGTCCCTCGATGTGGTTTCTTGTCGTGTACTTTGCTCGATCGAACTTGGTCTCTTCCATGAAGAAAAAGATGATCAGAAGGAGAACGGCGCAAAAGATGGCGCACCAGTACTGTTTGTCTATCAATATCTGTTTCTTGTCAATTGAAAAAGGAGTACTGACAAACACCCATTGATATCCCTGGCCGTCATTGATGAAGCCCATGATGAGAGGAGCGATGCCGTTGCTGTAGCCAAGTGCGAGAGCATACAGAGCGATGAACTTGCCGCGTTCATGGGTGAAGACCTGCGACACTTAAGTCTATAACACGGGGTTGGTTTGTAGAATTAATTACTTACGACGTCTGAAACTGTGATTTCCGCAAGAGACTCGATCGGTGCACCAAAGATGCCCTGCAGAATCTTGGTCGCGATCCACTCTCCGTTTGATTTGACGTGAGGCTGCCAGACCATGACACCCTAGTCCTGTCAGCTTCAAAGCTATTAGTCAGACAGACTTGGATATTTACCAAAGTGCCCAGTGTAGTCAACAGATACACAGGGCGCTTGCCGTACTGAATGGCGATAGCTTGCCAGATGATACAGCCCCAGCCGAAGAAGAGAAACTACCGACATGTCAGACTGCCACAAAGTACATGAAGCTAAGAGAGGTAAATACCATGTATCCAGTTCCAGAGTTCAAATCATTATAGCTCAGACCAGTAGACTCCGACAGAGGTCCCAGAGTCGAATACAGCGCAGAAGAGCAGATACCAATGACAAGCACATATCTACATCACGTCAGTGGACCCCAACACGATAACAAGAGAAGTGGACATACGCTGCCATGCAAAATGAAGAGAGGTATTTCCTCCTTGGCGACCAGTTCAGCGGATCATCCGGATGAGTCGACGGAGCTGGGACGAGAACAATGTCGTGCTCGGCTCCTTTGGCGTGCTGCGAGTCCATGCTTCCCTGGGCGTCGACCAAGTGGACCGTCCCAGGGATTGCCTCGATCTGATCTGCCATATTGGCAGTGGTCTGGCTTTGAGTGGGCATGGTCTAGAAGATGGGGAAAAGTAGTTGGTGATTATCTGTTGTGGAGCTTTTGACTAATTGGTGTCAATGGAGGATTCTCTTATGCTTTTATATCTGTCGGCAAAGTCTAATTAGTATTCTAGATTGATCTATCTTGACTATCTCTCGTAGCTCCAATTCGTAGCTTTCTTATTCTCGGCGCCATGTCCTTGATGTCTGAACCCTTGGCCTTATCAGGCTTGACGTCACTTCTCATTACAAAGCCGTTCATCCGAACAATTGATGCTCGGGTAATAGAAATGAGAAATATCCCGATTTGGAGAATAGCCCCAGAAGTTAGGGGACAACACAATGCGGGGGCAGAGCCATCCTTATCGCTAGCAAACTAAGTTCTATCTACTAATTTAAGCTCTTAGCCACAAGCTATAACTATAAATAATATATCTAGCTAATAACTTAAACATTATACTATAATAACTAACTAATTATTATAGTTAAAGGCTAATAAGAGGAAAACCTAGATTATAACTCTTTAGCTAGCCTTAAAGGTATTGATGCGTAATAATCGCATCCTCCCGAATAGCGGGTCATAGTTGTTCCGGGCCTTGGTGTTTATCCCAAAACACCAAGACCCACCTTAGAATTGATCCCGCATCCCCTTCTGAATACCTTCACGTACCTTCGTATGCGTGATTCGGTATCAGGTATATAAAATAGTACTTTTAATCTATTAACTAAGAAAAGTTAGCTTAATACTACTAATACCCTAGATCTTTAAAATAGTAGCTTTTATACTAATAAAAATAGTCTTTTATTAATATTATTTTAACTAATTAAATATTTAAAACTATACTAATAGATTTATTATAATACTCTAAGTAGTAATAGCTTATAGTATAACCTTCTTTAAAGATTTTAATTAGTACTTTGATAATATTTATAACTTAATCTTTATATAGAACTTCTATAAGCTTAGTAATAAATTCCTCTTTAAGCTTACTTTTTTTAACTATTTGTTAAGGCTTGAATAAAATAGCCGATAAATTC